ATTCAATCCCAGGCGGCCTGGCTCCCAGTCTGCTCCAGCAGCACCCCCCCGCCCCCACCCTCTTGCTCCCATGGTACACAGTTGGTCAGATAAAGGAAGGACTGGGAGAGGAGGTTATTGTCCAGGTATAGTCCTGTGCATGTGAATTCATATACTAAGAAGCTTCATTTGTGCTTTTAGCGCCTCAGCATGGTCCAGTGTGTGAGTTTGCTGGTGTTTCTCCCTGGAGTCCTTACATTTCAGACGGTGAGTCATGCTGATCCCTTCCCACCTCTCCCCTTCCAGGGCTTCTGGATTTCCCCATGGGAAAGTCTGCGTTCAGCACTTCATTCCAGGATGTCCGTGGGGAGGCAATGCTTTGGGGACACCACACAGTCTAAGGACACAGTGAGGCACCAGGCTTTCTGACATGCCCCTTGCACCGTCTGCACCTCCTTGGGAGTCATTGCACTCTGAGGACCCGTGACGCCCTGAGGTTCTGTCTCCACATGTTCATTTTGCACTAACAAGCAGACCCTCTAGAAATCCAGGTCCCAGGATTCTGGACTATTGCCTAGTGGGAAGGTAATTTTTTCATAAAGTAATTTATTTTCTTACATCGTTGTTAATTTGGGGATATTATTTGACTTCTCCCCTCAGGTGTCATCCCCATAGTTTCTCCCACCACTGAGCACATGTGAGCGATCACCACAGTCCCTTGTGCTCTTCCCTCCCCTATTTTGACCCCTCTCCCGTCCCCTCCCCTGCTCTGTGGTCAGCATAAGGACCAGTCAGTTATTAACCACTTTCTATGTGAGAAATACACAGAAGTCCTGCTCAGGCCAACCCCTCACTGGCTGTCTCAGCCCCTGTTGTGCCCAAGGTCAGCAGACTCGGCGAGCATAGCCTCCAAGAACCCAAAGGCAGCTGATACAAACACAAAAGGGAGTTTATTTCAGACTCAAGTCCGGGTTCACAGCACCTACCAATGCAGTGGCAGATACCGAGAGCCCGAACAAAGGAAGCAGGGGTCTTTTAATAAGGTTAAATTATGCTGGCAGTTACTCATTGGCTACAAGGATGAGTTCTCCAACTTTGCCAGGCTATCATTCTAAGCTGACTGGCCAGGCCAAGATGCAGCTCCAACCTGCAGCTCCAATTACAGCAAGTTCGCCCTCATTGGTGACCAGAGAGTAAGGGTGGAGTGAGGGTCCAAACTATCTCTGGAATGCAGTCTTTTCCCGGGACAGCAAGACCTGCAAGACCTGAAATTCTAAAATGGCAGTTACACACAAAATGACAAAGCAATGGCTAAGAATACTTATGCTTGGTTCCACACCCCCACATCAGACACTCCCTCCTGGGCTCTGGCCAGCATCTCAGCACCCTCAAAAGTCACCTTCCTCACTCTTAACATTGTCTAAAGTGGGGTATCTCTGAAGTGTGTGGCAGATGGAGTTTCTGCAAAAGATCACCTTCCTCCAGGTTTGTAAGGAAGAAGAAGGGAGAAAGACAGGGAGGGAGGAGAAAACAGGGGCAGCCATGTGGGTGGAGCATCCCCTGGTGCTGGCTTGCTAGGCTCCCGGGGCAAGGCCACACAGTAATTACTGTTACCCTCCACCCACCCACAATCCCCATAATCCAGAAAACATCACACTTCATTGTAACTTTTAATTGTGCGATCTTTCCAATGTCTTGTTCTTGATGCAAACAAAGCACCAGAGTCTGTAAGTATTTGCCATTTACAATACTGGGTATGTTGCAGTTAAGAGATAAAAAATGAATTATAGACATGCAATATATACATGTCCTGCCCCTTTTCCCCTCCTTTTTAAAAACTGTAAGTCTTTAAAATGGCATCCTGTTCTGTTTCCACCTGTGAAACAAGTTATAGTCTTTCCTCTAGGAAAAAGAGCTCTCAGGTCCTTATTTGTGGTTCTGTTTCATTTTCTTCTTTCCCACAAGCACAGACACTTTTGTTCCTGCTTTAAATTGCTTCTAGCTACCAGGGCATTCTTGGGAAAACAGTTTTTGGGGTGTTGATTGCCTGTGGTTGCAACTGGGACCCCTGAGTGAAAATGTAATCATAGCCTCGTAGAACATTAACGTAGGAAAGAAACTGAAATAATATTTTCAATCTTTCTGCTACCAAAGACTCTGTCTATTTGTTTGTTTGTTTGTTTGTTTGTTTGTTTATTGCTTTTTAGCTACAATCAACTCTTTTCCCAGAGGTTTCATATTTTAAGAATCCTATCTACCAACTGCATTTTGACTATTAATTTCATTTAGTTTTTGGCATTCTTCTTAATCAAATAATCTCTTACCTTATGTCATGCTCTCAATTTGTGAAAAATGTCATGTAGCTTTCATTGTACAAATCCTTTACTTCTGGGGAAGGGTAAATTCCTAGGTGTTGAATTACTTACGAAGTGATTGTGAATGGATTATAAAAGTTTCTTCATGTTCATGGAAGGAGAATCAGAAATAAAAGAAAGATAAAGAGCATCTATAATATCACGATGTGCTGGGGCACTACCCTCTAAGATTTCTATGCATTTTTGTTAACTCTTGGTTTGGTATTTTTTTTCTTTAGAAGGCAAAAAATAAAACTGAGATCTAAATTGAATTCTGACTTTATCTTTGAAGTCTCTCTCCCAATTGGAGTTTCTTCCACAGTGTCCTATGTCTGCCAGCAAAGCAGAAATGTTGTAGGATAATTTTATTTCATAGCCACTTTTTAATAGCTTAATACCTTATTTTTTGACATTAATTGTACTCAACTATAAGAAGCCAAAGTCATGAAAGTCAGTTATTTTAGTAGACCCTTGTCATTTAAAAACAGTATGGTGAAAACAAAGGGAGGGATGGTACCAATTTTCTTAATGTAATTAAAATAGAATGTGTTTTCCTACACATTTTTGTCTTTGTAATTTAAATAGCAAATTGAATATGCTGTTTGCTATGTGATTCTTGTAATGGTGCCTGGCTTAAACAATGCAATTTTCATCTGCAGCTGTAGCCACTGTGTACTGTTAAGAAATTAGCACTTATGAGGATATTTGTATATATATACATCTATACATATATATATATATATTTTTTTACATTGTTGTTCATTTTTGTACAATGTTTGATTTCTCCTCTCAGGTGTAATCCCCATAAAATCACCACCACCAAGATATCCATAAACCATCACCACAGCCCTTTGTACTCTCCTCCCCCCCCCCCCCCCCCGTTTTGACCCCTCTCCCTCCCTGTTGCCTGCTGAATGTCTCTGACTTATAGTTTGCTTATTAGTTTTGTCTTTTTTTTCCCCTGATCCCTCATTTGGTTCCCCTGTATTCCTTCTGTAAGTGAAACCATCCGATATTTTTTTTTTAGGATATTTGGCAAGAACAAATTCCTTTAATTCTATTTTATCCACACAGTGAATTTGTACCAGTAGGCTGTTAGAACTATTCAAGGATTGCAACCACTAATTCAGAGTTTTTACTTGAAGAACAGGGTATTAAAAGTATAAGATTGACTATAGACTGGGTAGCAGGAATTTATTTCTCAGTGTTCTGGAGGCTGAACAGCCTAAGATCAAGGTACTAGCAAAACTGTTCATGGGAGGGCCCTCCTCCTGGTTTGCAGAAGATCCTCTAGTATCTCACAGAAGAGCATGAGGGGGAGCAATCTCTCTGGTGGCTGTTCTTATAAGGCAGCAGCCCCATTCATGTAGGTTCTTCATTTCTTCCAAAATCCTGATTTCTAATACTTCCACATGGGGTTCGGGGCCTACGGCTTCACTACAGGCAGGCGCCCCACACCCTATGGAGGTGTGCATTGTTTACAAATAATGAAAATAATAATAATGCAAATAATAATGCAAATAAAAAGTTTTATTTGTTTACAAATGAAACAAATAATGCATTGTTTACAAATGGAACGTAGGTTCTATGTGGAGCAAATCTATCAGTACCATTTTTCCAAGGGCATGTGCTCACTTCATGTCTTTATGTCACATTTTATTAAGGTATGCACATTGGTTTTTGCTTAGGCATAGTGCTATTGCACACTTAATAGATGACAGTATTGTGTAATATAACTTTTATATGCACTTGAAAAGCAAACATTTTGTGTGTGACTCAAGTTATGGTGATAATCACTTTATTGTGATGGTCTAAACTGAATCCACAGCATCTCCAAGGTCTGTCTGCCTATGAATCTTAGGGGACCACACATACTCAGTTCATAACAGCTTAGTTATGACTTCAGGAACAAAGGACTCTGGGCTTCCTGTGTATTTTCTTCATAGGGTTGGTATCAGAAATGAAGCATCTACATTTCAACTGCTACTTTGATAATATTACATTCACAGTGATGCTTTTTATTTATAACTGTTTGTTTTCATGAGTTGCTTTTGGTATCAATTATTCACTGAAATTCATCCAACAGACTGAAAATCTTCTGGAACATTACAAAATGTCTCAAAGATCCTCATTGTGAAGACTTAAGTGGATATCTATGAAATTCAAAAAAAGAAATTTTAACCAATATATAGGCAAAAAAGTGTCTGTATTGGAAGGGAGAAGATAAAAAATAAAGTCAAAACTTGGCTTGCTCCCCAGGGTCTGGCTAGGGATGTGTGTTGGGAGGGGGGTTTCTGGTTATTTTGTGCATGGGCTTCTAGAGCACCTCGGGCTGTTTCTGAGGTCTGAGAAGAGGAGGGAACTGGGAAGAGAAGGCCAAGGTTGGCCCTGGTACCAGAGCTGAAGGATGGAGGAAGACAGTATGTGGGCCATAGCAGTGGTGAGCAGGAGGGATATGACTGAGACAGCCTCTGGTTCTTGACCCTTGACCTGCTCCAGTTCTGAGGGTTTCCTAGTTTATCCAAGACATTCCTTACCAAAGCCACTAACTTAGAGCAGTTATTTTTAAGTCACTGTCTCTCAAGTTTGGAGTGATATGTAGCCTTTTGAAAAGGAGAAACAGACTGAAAGAAAAAGGAAATTCTGAGACTATTTTTCCGTTTGTAGGAAGGTTTGTCAGATGAGAGCAGTGACAGCAGTCCTGGGTACAGGAAACACTACTACGTATTTCGGATGCTGGTAAGTGGCTAGCATATTATCTTTGCTGAAGAATAAAACTATTAGGTTACTTTAGATCAGAGTTTCCTCATAGCAGCACCATTGACTCTTGGGGCCTGATAATTCCATGTTATTTGGCTGCCCCGTGCATAGTAGGATGTTTAGCAGCATCCCTGACCTGCCCCCTCCAGATGCCCACTTTGTTCCTCCACATGTGACAGCCAGCAGTGTCTCCACACATTACCAAATGCCCTTGCAAGGAGGGGATGGGGGGGCCACAGTTTCTCCCAGTTTAGAATCCTTGCTTTAGACTATTTACCAGAGAGGTCCATATTTGAATTATAGAGACTAAGTACAGCTGAGGGACTGATAAAATTTAAGAGTGTTTGGATTCTTCAAATCTCTGTGAACAGAACCTGAATAGAAATTTTTTGAATTCAGTGAGAACAAAGTTTATTTTTGTTGTTTCCATTTATTCTTTTCTCATATTAGAAAATTTCAGTATTGGGATAAGTTTAGAAGATACAACGTTGAAACTAAATGTTTGAATTGTAATATCATGCTGATGGAAATCTTAAGACTAAAATATCACCTACAAGTTGGTGACTTATTAATGACTAGGATGCTTATAGACTCCAGCTTTTGCCCCAGAAGCTCAGTGGCTACCTTAGTCTGAGCCAACAGGACTTTGCCTTCATATTTGCTTGTGACAATTAATTCAAATGGGAACTGGTAATGATAAACAAGTCAATAGAGAGAAGAAATGTTATTAAAAATATTAGGCCAGGGCCTCCCTGGTGGTCCAGGGGGTTAAAACGCAACCTATGAAGCTATCCACAGCCACTTCAGTACGAGTTTGATCCCAGGCCAGGAAGCTACCCACATGGCACAGCAGACTTCTCCTAACTCACCCGCTGCTCCCCTCAGCAGTGTATTTCAGTGAATCTGCCTGTTCTGTTCCCCACTCTGTTTCTGGTGAATCCTCTCACCTTTTCACCTCTGGTCTGTACCCCAGTTCCTATACGCATAAATAAATAAATCTTTTTAAAAAATTAGGCCAAATGAAAGAACTACATAGGGGTATAATATAGCTTGGTTGTAACCAAAAGACTTCTCTGTCAAAAATGTCCTATTCTATGTCATATTGATAATAAAGAAAAAACAAAGCAAAACAAAAGAATGAAAAATATCTCGCCATCTTAACTGTTGAGCCAAAGCACCAGCATGGAAACTACTCAGATGGTGGCTGGTAGGAACCGGGATCCAGCAGGAGTCTGGGAGACTTTAGGACTTTTTTACTTGGCTATATTGAGATGGACCCATCCCAATGACTTATTTCCTCTCGCTCTAAGTTTGTATCTGAAAAGACATATAGCATTCAAAATGTAGGCAAATCAGGCAAAATCCAAAAACATTTCTTAATTTAACCCAAGTTCAATCACACCTATCTCTAGCTTGCTACCCCTGCTTCAGATTCCTCCTTTATTTAATCTTCTGCAGAAGTCATACGTATGTGTGCCCTGCCCCTAAAGGCCTCCCAGATCAAAACTCAGTCAATTAGCAAGGAACCACCTGTGCATTCCAGCAGGAAGTGCTTTCTCTAACTTGGTCTCTCTGTCCTTCTCTTTACAGCCAATTCAAAGATTGAAAGGGAAACCAGAAAATGCTTTTGAGAGGAAGGCAGCTGATTTGCTGGCAGATTTGTGGCCTTCCAGCGTTTTTGGAGCACGAGATCTTAGACCCTCAGAGAGCATGTTGGCACACATCCAGCCTCAGCGGGTGTCTGCTGTTCCTAGACAAAGCCCATCCACTCAGGCTCCTCCTGTTTTGGGGAGCACAGCTCTGCGTGGCCCTGCTTTTACCCTCTCCACCCGGTCCAAAATAACAGAGAGAAATAGTGGGGCCTCTGTCCCTGGGAACCTGGGGACCTATTATGATATGTCAGCCAAGTTTTCCCTGACACCCCAAGTTCTGACTACTGCAGGTGTTCCCACAAAGGAAGAATTCTATAGTACCAGCCCTCCCACCTTCTCTACCTCTAAAGAGCCCCGAGGAGATGTGTAAGCTAAAGTACTCAGTTTCAGGCCTTCCCTGGTGGCACAGGCAGTTGAGCGCCGTGCTATGAAGCTGTCTGCAGCCTCTGCAGCGCCGGTTCCATCCCCGGCTGGCCAGCGAGGGTTCCACATGGCCCGGCAGACCTCTCCTATCTCACCTGCTGCTCCCCTCAGCAGTGTATTTCAGTCAATCTGTCTGTTCTGTTCCCCACTCTGTCTCTGGTGGATCCTCTCACCTTCATGCACATCTAGCCTGTACCCCCATTCTTGTATAAATAAATAAATAAACCTTAAAAAATAATTTAAAGTACTCAGTTTCCCCTTCTTTTGTGAGACTTAGATCCTGTGTTGCTGTCTGGGTTTGGAGAGCAAACTTCCAGGGAATTGTTCAGAGTCAGATGGTCCCAGTGCTTTGGTTTCAGGCCTGGGGATGTATCCTGTTCTCCTATGTGTTATGAAGGAATACACTTTGAGCACCAACTCCTCTAGAAATGGATTTCCTGTATAAGAAGTTTTACAGAAAAGGAAAGTGATATTAGCACTCTGAGAAAGTTTCTCACTCTTATCTAGAAATAAAACAACTCCTAAATCATCTCTGAACTATCCAAGGTTAATAAAAATGAATTTCAGGCAAAATGCAAAGCCATAGAATTTTTCTCTGTTGCCCTGCATTATCTTCATTTTGTTTACTTATTTTTGCACATTATTCCTCTCCTTGGGATTGATTAATTCATCTCTACCAAATTTTTGGTCAATTACAATTTTAATTCCTACAGTACTCTTCAAGCTATTGAGATCTATCAAACCTGGTGTCTTTGGTTTTTAACACTGTGGTCTCCAGAGTGAGAGAGTTAGTCCAGAGTCTAACAAATCACTCTAAACTGGAAAATCCTTAGAGGAAATAGCTCAGAAAGGGACTGTATTAGCAGTAAAACTAAAAAACAAAACAAAACAAAACAAAAAACCAGTTTTCTTTCACAGTTAATCAAATAGATTCTTCAAGTGGAAACAGCTATATTGACAGTGTCTTCATAGGATGAATCAGTAAAAATGATAAGAGCAGAGTGAGCATAAATTAAAAACTAAAACTAGAGCCAACTAGGCAGATGACTGCTATTCAAATGCTTCAGCAACTACTCAGTTTAACTATAGTACAACTGATGGAGATTTACTGGAGGGTTTTAATGGTGTCTTTTGTGTGGCAGTTGAACTGAAGAACTTGGAGCTGACTCTGCCGGAGGAAGCTGACTGACTTAAAGAAACAGAAGTTGATCTACCCTTCAAGTTAAAACCATCCTGTTTAGACAAGGTTGACAGGATAAATAGCATATGACTTGGTAGGAACCTCTCTATGTCCTGGTTGAACAAATACTGAAATTAGAAGAATGATGTTAAGCACAGCAAAAGTGAGGGTTTGCTTATTAAAGGTTAACATGAGAACAAGTGATATTTTATAGGTTTACAGCAAGGGTGTGCTGGCAAATATTTAACAACTAACTGGGAGTATGAAGTCCTGATTTGTAGTTGTTGCCATGGCACCACTGCACGTGGAGTTGGAAAGAGCTGTAGAGAAGCACCCCATATTACCATTGTGTTCCCTCCATGCAGATAGACGTGATGGGCGCACATATCCTCAAGAACATAGGTAGTGGGCCTTCCCTGGTGGCGCAGGCGGTTGAGCGCAGCTCTGTGAAGCTGTCTGCAGCCTCTGCAGCATGGGTTCCATCCTGGCCGGCTGGTGAGGGTCCCACATGGCACAGCAGACCTCTCCTGTCTCGCCCGCTACTCCCCTCAGCAGTGTATTTCATCAGTCTGCCTGTTCTGTTCCCTGCTCTGTCTCTGGTGAATCCTCTCGCCCTCCGGCGCATCTGGCCTGTACCCCGGTTCTTGTATGCATAAATAAATAAATCTTTTTAAAAAAAAAAGAGCATAGGTAGTAAAAAAACTATGGTAAAATAATTAGGAAGTGAGGAGTTTTGCATATTTATAATCTTCACTTTTAACATTATTTAATTGTAAATTTTTATAATTTAACTTTTAATAATGCCTGTGTTTAAACACCAATTCACAAAATCCCTAAAAAGTTAACCCGTTTCAGCACGTCATCAGGCATGGAAATTAAATCAGAAGATACAAAAAAACAGACAGGTCACTGCTGCAGTACCAGAATGAGTATATTATATTTCTAGACATAGCACCAAAACATTCCGTTGTAAATTGAAAGAAGTTGAAATCCTGGTGATTGCAATTGCAGGGAACCACAGGGACTTTTCCATGCTGTACTGCATATGGGAAAGCATATATATTAGTAAAGATTCCAGAAGAAGGCGCCTCCCTGGGGGAACAGGGGTTAAAGTGTTAAAACTATCAGCAACCACTGCAGCACAAGTTAGGTCCCCCGCCAGGGAGCTACCCACATGGCACAGCAGACCTCTCCTGTCTCGCCTGCCGCTCCCCTCAGCAGTGCATTTCAGTGAATCTGCCTGTTCTGCTCCCCACTCTGTCTCTTGTGAATCCTCTCACCACCCACATCTCTGGCCTACACTCCAGCTCTTGTATGCATAAATAAATAAATCTTAAAAAAAAAAAAAGTGCAGCTGGGAAAAAAAAACAGAGCAAACTGAGCGGTATAATGTGGCTCTTCTGCCTTGGAATAATCCTTTGTATTTCAGAGTCTCTTAGACATCACAAAGCTCTTGTAGTAGGAAACAAAATTTAGAAATGTAAGTGAATTTGCTTGCTTTACAGATTTGCTGATTTTCAAGGGAGATTTGAAAGAAGAAAACATTTCAAAATCATAAGGAAAGGAGTGAGGGAAACAAAATTTCACTTTCTTATTCCTTGCAATTTTCTACTTGGAAAAAAATGGGTTAGCATTTGAAACAGATCAGGATACGCTACCCAGAATTATGCCGCTTTGGAATAAAGATTATTTTGAGCTGGAGGTAATTGAGAATCAACAGCTACAGGAATAGTTCTCTGCCTTTCCTTATCTGCCTAAAAGCAGGACATACATCTCCCTTTGTGAAGGTGTCCCCCAACTATAGGAGGAGGAGAAGAGCGCTCTTATCATCAGAGAGCTGACACTGAGAGGAGTTTGCAGACTTTACTGAAATAGCTCTTATCTTCCATTTGTTCTCTCATATATTTCCTAGTCACTTCCCACAATTTGTCATCCAACTTGAGCCCTAAGTTCCCTTTCCTTTCTTAGAATGGTATACAAGCCCCCAAATCTAGCCATTTTAAGCTTAAGTTCTCTGTGAACCCCTGTGTACATTTCAAAAAATTAATTAATTTGTATTCCTGCTCTATGTGTGAGATAGCTCCCTAGCCGGGGATAGGGCTCAGGCCGTGGCAGTGATAGCACTGAGACATAACCCCTAGGCCATCAGGGAGGCCATTTTTAATTTAGTTTTTGACCCTCTGTATTGCTTCTCTATAGTCCACATAAAAGTAAAATCATCTGATTTGCCCTCCTTCTGGAATTTTTTACTTAGCATAATCCCCTCCAGTTTCACCTATGTTGTCACAAATGGCAAGATTCATCTTTTCTTATAGCTGCATAGTATTCCATTGTGTATATATACCACAACTTTCAAATTTAGTCATTTCTCCCTGGGCACTTAGGTTGTTCCCATAATTTGGGTTTGTAAATAGTGCTGCGATGAATATAGAAGTGCATTTATTCCTTCACATTAATGTTTTTGCACACTTTGGATTGATACCTGGAGTGGGGTCGTTGACTCATGTAGTGGTTCTATTTTTAATATCTTGAGAAACCTCCACATTGTTTTCCAAACAGGCTGAATCAGTCTACATTTTTTACCACCTTCACCAACTTTTATTTTATTTCTCTTAAATAAAAAAAAGCTTAAAATTTTGTTTTCCCATGCATGAGGATATTGAATTATGTCAATAACCCACTAGATGACTAGAATAAAACAATTCTTCCTTTTAAGAATTAGGGAAAGTGAAATGTTTATGCTAAAAACTGAAATATTTTCAAACAGATAAAAGATCTTCTTTTGGAAATTGCAGTAAGTAGCTGTTATGCTTTTGACCAATTGACAATTACTCTGATCTATCTAGTTATCCATTTGTAGGGAAAATTAAATATGGGGTTTAACACAACATTTGCTGTTTAACTTAACCCCTCTACCAATCATACGCTCCCTTCTCCCCTGCCTCTCTACCCTTAACTCCCAGCTTATTTTGAAAACATTTGACAAATTAAGGCTATTAGGATTAAAGGAAACAAAAGTATGTAGCAGCATTTGATCTCCAGCTCCAGGTATCCGTGCCTTTGTCTAAATCCCTCCTGAATGCGAGCAGGACCTAACTTGCTTCTAACCAACATGGCAAGGTGATAGATGTCATCCTGTGATTATTTCCTGTAAGACCCAGTCTTGTTGGCTGATTGGGGCTAGAGGTTATCCTGACTTGAGGAAGTGACTGAGCATGATGACGTAGCCCATGAGCTAAAGAACTGGGGATGACCACTCCTTGCAGAGGGAGGACTTTGGCCTACTGTCAGCAAGAGATTGATGTTTTTGGTCTGGAACTCGGTTCTATAAAGAATGCAACAAAAAACCTGAATGAGATTTGGAAGCCAACTCTCCACAATACAGCCTGGTCGAAACCTTGAGTACAGCCTTGTGACAAAGAATAGCGGACCTAGTTAAGCTGTGCCCTGACCCCTGACCCACAGAAGCCGTGAAACAATGTTTTAAGTCACATTTGTGGTAATTTGTAATGCAGTATTCACACCTAAGTATTTATTTAGCTCATCCTACTTTTATTTTTTAATATTTTATTTATTTTTTTTACAGAATTGTTCATTTTTAGTGTTCATTTTTAAACAATATTTGCTTCTCCCCACCCCCTCAGGTGCAGTCCCCATAGAGTTTCCTTCACCAATGCACCCGTGCACCATCACCTCAGTCCCCTGTGCTCCTCCCTTCCTCCCTCCCATCCCTCTCCCTCCTCCTCCCCTGCAGGATGTCTCTGACTTATAATAGTCTGTTTTTGCTTCATTGTGTTTTGTACTGTTATTTTTTTTACACTGATGTCTTATTTGTTTCCCCTATATTCATCCTCTAAGTGAAACCATCCGATATTTTTGTTTTTCCTTCTGACTTATTTCACTGAGCATAATTCTTTCTAGCTCCATCCATGTTGCTGCTAATGGCATGAGTTTATCTTTTTGATTGCTGAGTAATATTCCATTGTGTATATATGCCACATCTTCTTGATCCAGTCATCTATTTTTGGGTATTTGGGTTGTTTCCAGCTTTTACCTATTATAAACAGTGCTGCAATAAACATAGTCACTCTACTCTTCACTGCTGCAAAAAAAAAGTTGCCTTTTTTTTTAATGCAAACTTACTTTAGGTAAAGAACATAAGAATGAAAGAGAATCTGAAAATTCACCCCATGCACACCACAGCAAGAGCCTTGCATTTTACCTTCTCTATGAAACAAGGCAAAAAGTTCTTTCACTACGGTATTATGGGGCATGAATTGTCACAGAGAAGTCAAAGAACTTCAAGAGGCACAAAATGTCAAGCTTTGCCACTATGGCTATCACACTAAATTCAGAGGATAGTATGTTTATTTAAACAAACCTAGAACAAAAACCCAGAGGTGGAAAGAAACTAGCAAACCAGGTATCAGAAACTTCTATCTTCACATTCTCCTAAGTGAGAAAATATAATTACAAAGTGGTTCAGTTTTGTCATGAGCAAAATCAAAAGTAATGTATAATTATAGCAATGTTAACATGTAACGCTTTCTCAAAATAAAACTAGTCACAACTGCTTAGAGTGTTTATGGGAAAAACCTATGTCTAGACAAACTGAGTTAATTTGCAGGAAGGGATATCATATTTTAAGACAGGTATGTGCCACACCTTACTCGCTTAATTTTCATTTTGAAAGATTATAGAAAAATCCTGAAGTTTCTGAGATGTAGACTGCAAGAATAACTTCTCTTTGGAGGTACTGCCAGGGAAGTTAATTCACTAATCCACAAGGAAGGGGAAACTTGATAAAATAAGTCGCATTTAAGAAAATCTTTCAAATAATATATAATTATAAGCTAATATTTTCTTCAGATACTTATCTATTTAGTTAGCAGGACAAATTTCTCAAAAAGCAAGTTTAATTGAGTTCAACAGGATAGAGCTAGTTTGCATCAATAAAAGGTGTTTCACTAAAGCAGTTTTGAAAAGTATTTTCATTTTCCAGTACAGTAGGAAAATAGTCTAAAATCATAGCTTTCTTAGTTTTTCTCTTAATTCCACCAGTCAGAGTTGCTCTGGGGTAAATTAATCTTCTTGTTCATTTAATACTATCACTCCTTCCTCATCTTTTAGATTGAATGCTCAGAGTTCTTAGTTGTCTTCTCTATAGTCACTCCCTAGAAGAATTTATCCTGCCGGATGGATTTAAATACTATCTATACACTATTTTCCAGTCTAATGAGCTCCAAATTTCTATCTCTACCTGCCTAGTGAACCTATCTACTTGTATGTCTACCTGAGTCTCAGATTTAACAAGCCTACATCAGCTCTAGATCAGCACACCAAACCTACTCCTGACTTCTCTTGCTCCCCTATTCCTGACACATGGCAACTTAAGAACAAGTGTTCTCAGTTCTGTGCTGTGAGGCTGTCCACAGCCTCTGCAGCACAGGTTCAATGCCTGGTTGGCCAGGGAGATACCCACATGGCACGGCAGACCTCTCCTGCCTTGCCTGCTGCTCCCCTCCACAGGGTCTTCGGTTGTCTGCCTGTTCTGCTCCCCACTCCATCTCTGGTAATTCTCTCACCGTCCCCTGCCTCTGGTCTGTACCCCAGCTCTTGTATAAATCTTTTTCTTTAAAAAAAGTGTTCTCAGCTCTGCCTGTAAAGTATCTCCCAAATCCTACTCTAGACACCATCATCCCTATAATGTATTCTGACCACCATCTGTTTTTTTTTTTTAATTTATTTATTTATACAAGAACCGGGGTACAGGCCAGATGCGCGGGAGGGTGAGAGGATTCACCAGAGACAGAGAGGGGAACAGAACAGGCAGACAAAATACACTAAGGAGAGCAGCGGGCGAGACAGGAGAGGTCTGCCGCACCATGTGGGACCCTCGCCGGCTAGCTGGGATCGAACCGGTGCTACAGAGGCTGCGAACAGCTTCACAATGCTGTGCTCAACCGCCTGCACTACCAGGGGAGGCCCTCCATCTGTTTTTAGATGACACCAATAGCCTCTTATCTAGCCTCCTCCCCATAGACAATTGTTGACAAAGCAGGTAATCTATGAAACAGAAATCAAATGTAATCACTACTCTGGTTTCCTAGTAAACTCAGAATAAAATGCAAGTATCTTTCCAGAAGCTATACAGCACTTATTACTTTATGCACTTTACTGTCATTTACTCCTTCTGGAACACAATATAGGGGATGTCTGTTTCATTCACTGCTATAATCCCCAATGCATATGGCAGTACTCAGCACATTATACACCCACTACATATATACTATATACCTATATTAGGAAGCACCAGAAACAATCCAGGCAAAAAACTACAGGCATGATAGGAAGATGTTCATTTGGCTCCAGCCTGGACTGTGCCACTTACCTCGTGTATTCTCAACTCCACGCCAGCCTGAGGGACTGAGTCTCTGCAAACTATACTAATTTTGTAGCTGTTCCTCTCAAGTCTTTTGGCATTCCCTATCTATGGAAATCTTATTCTGACTCATTGATTTTTCTTTATTTTTTAACCATTAGCCTGAAATTCAGTCATTAATCAGTTGCTCAATATGTGGGGTGAACTCTAGGGAAACTTCACATAATCTGAGTTGGTTGAGTAAGTCATACAGGCCTCCTTGGATAGCCAGGCCACACCTCAGGGCCTTGGCAAGAGCAAGGTTTGGGTAGGAAGGGAGCAGGCAAGGGCACGGTGTGGCATGCACCGGGGCTCAGTAACAGCTGTTTCAAGGTAAGTGAAAATCCTCCCTTCCGGTGCCCCTAAGTAGATTGCTCAAACTGTGATTGACCCCAGAAGGCAGATAATACACATTATCTCTCAGCCCTGTTGTCTTGCCTTTAAGTAAGCCTATTTCTTTAAATGGAAATCATTGCTAAGAATGCCAAAGCTCAATTTAGAACAACTAAACCTTCCTACAACCTCTTCCGCTGCTGCAGCTGCTCCAATTACCCCTCCAACCTAACAGGACCTTAACATTTGTTTTGAAAGATAAGATTGTGTCTATTTAGCTAGAGTAATGTACTCATAAGAATTCCCATTACCATTTTCACTTGTCTTATCTTTTATTTTTTTTTTTTTTTTTTTTTTTTTTTTTTAACTTTTTTTTTTTTTAATAGAGGCATGCTTATTTATTTATTTGTTTGTTTGTTTTGTTTATACATGCACTGGGTACAGTCAGAAGCGCGGGAGGGTGAGAGAATTCACCAGAGCCAGAGCGGGGAGCAGAGCAGGCAGAAGGACCGAAGGACACTGCTGAGGGGAGCAGCGGGCGGCAGGAGAGGACTGCGCGCCATGTGGGACCCTCCTCCGGTGGCTGGGGAGCAGCCGGGGATCGAACAGGCGCCGCAGAGGCTGCGGGCAGGTTCGCAACCCAGCGCTCAACCGCTGCGCCACCGGGGAGGCCCTGTCTTATCTTTTATTAAGAATAAAACACTTTCCTCAAAATCTAAAAAAGGGAATCATGACCAGGAATTAAGTGAACAGAATATCTATTTTTTATTATGAAAACATTAAATTTTGACACATTGCTTCATTTGTTTTTTAAAAATCTATTATCTGACTTAAACCTATTCAGCAAAAATGCCAATAAATTATATAAATCTTAGTTTGGGTCTTTTTAAAACTAGGAACACAGTATGTCTTATGATAATTAAACAATACTAAATCTGAGTTGTGTGAGCTGTTAACTTATAGCATGTTTTAGACGTTTAGCTTAAAATAAAACCAAAACCAATCATATGCTAATATGCGTTGCCAAAGTTTCTCAGAAACACCCTCCCGTCACTGTGTCAAGTATCCTGTTTCTTCACTGAGGTACAGAACACAGCCTTATCAGGTGCGTCAAGGCATTCATTCCATACTGTCCTGCCTGCTCAGCTTCAGTGTCACAATGGATAGAGGGCTGATTATCTTTACAACCCATGCCACGTTTCCTTGAAGTAAAACCTTTTCTTTCAAAGGAAATCATTAACTAGGAACTCTGATACTCAATTTAGAAACAATGATTCCAACAACACAAAAATCAAATATTTAAGTAAGTACTTAGAGTCACAGATTCTGAGAAGTGAAAATAATAGACAAATACAGAACTTATGTAAACAACCAATGAACTAAGGCAAATAGCATTGCCACCACATGCTTTAAAATGGTATGTTGGTGTCTCACGCTCTTTGCAAATTTTATTTGGGGGCAGTTCAGAAGAATTTAAATAAAAGAAATGTGTTCTGCATAAAGTTATAGTGTTTTCAACATGGGTGGCATCATTAAAAAAATACATCAATAGTCTTATTAGAGAATGTTTTCCACTTGGTTTCTAAATCTTTATTTTCTGTGGAGGCAAACCAAAACACTGTCTTAAGACTCCATCTTCCAAGTTATAGTATAATCTCTTTCATTCCTAGAGGTTTTAAAGTTAGATATGATCTGGGATCTTGTCATCATCGTCATCCTCATCATCGTCATCATCCTGGTCTCCAGATTCAAGTTCATCCTCTTCTTCTACCTAAGGCAAAGGAAAACATTCAACGTTATGAAGATTTGTTCACTTCACATTTAGCACATAATGATATATATTCTGTTGATAAATTCTTTGATTCCAGTTACTATTGAAAGTTACAAGACATCTGATTTAAGGCTCAAGACTCCCTGTCATTTTCAATATGACATGAGATACATAGATTAATTAACTGATGGATGGTTATATGCAAACCTGAACCAGACATGGCAAAAGAGAATGGCACACTTGGATGGTGAGAGTGCTGTTACCACAATACCACAGCTTTAATCAAATCAATTCATTTTCTATACTCAAAGCCCAAAACACAACTGCTAACAAGAGGTGGAAATGGCGCCTAATCTATTTCTTAGGTCAAATCACTGAACAATGTGAAACTAGTACAGGTGATACCACATTCATTTACCCACAGATCTGTGCTTGTAATGTAGATATAGGCACAACATTTCCATGCTACAGTACAATTTTATAAAGTATGTGAAAAAGAAACATGTCACTTTTGGAAACATTCAATCTTACTGGATGACCAAGTTCCTTGAGTTTATTCTTCAATGAAATTATTTTCTGATCCTGATCAGCCAACAGCACCAAGAGATCATCCTGTTCTTTTTTAGAGTCTGTAACATCCACCTCTAGCTTGTTTTTCTCATTTTGTAAAATGGCAATGGTACTCTTAGATGAATCCAGCTGCTCTTTAATAGCAGTTCTTTCCTCAGAGAGAGCTTTAATTTCATTCTAGGAAAAGAAAGGTGAAAATCACTCATCTGAAATTAGCATTCTCTCCTAGGGTTTTTACAAATAGGTTATGTGTATGATACAGGCTGTACTTGTCCAATCTGAGGCATTTGGGAGTGTGGTTGGGGGGAATAGGAAGTTTAACACACACCACACACCCAGTTAACAAGAGAATTTATGTTTGGAGCTAACATCAAAGACAGTTAATATGAAAAACAGTTTTAGCTAGCTATGTCTCAAAAAAATCCTAAGACAATTCCATTTCAGATAAGAGGAAAAAGTAAAGATAGAAAACATATTATGTCATTATAATAATGCCGACAATCTTGCTGGTCAGTGTCAGAATCAGAACTCAAAACTTAAGTTAAAAAATATTTTAATCCCAATTTCATAGATATAATTAAATGGGAAGAAATAACAGCTTCAAATAAAATACATACTTAACAATTTGACACAATTCAAAAAGTTAAATTACACATTTATCTTCTTTTAACTTTTCTCATCATTTATTTTTTACTGTTATTCCATTTCATTCTTCACGTTATTTATTCTGATGTCTGTCAGGATTTCTGCTGTCTGATTCTCTCAGCCTTGAGGAAAGCTTACATGTGGCTTATATATTTGCCAAATCTGTACTTCTTGTTTCTATTGTCATTAGAGATTAAAAATACACTTTTACATTTTGCAGTATATTCACATTTTACATTTCTGACACCATTTTGTGAAACGGCATTTAAAAATCTTAATTTGTAACATCTTTAGTCATCAAAACAGAATGGAAATGGTTGACATAGAATTACACTCCGTAAGCTTTCTTTATGAATCTAAGAATTTGAGAGATTCAATGAAATAAAATCAAATTTCCTAGAGTTAATTTCCTAGAATATGCAATAATTAAAGAGTTTCGCTAAAAAACAACCTTTAATTCTTGAGTCTCTTGTAATAATGCTGACAGTCTTCCTTCTACATCAGTTTTTGCAGCTGTTTCAGTTTCACTCTCTCCTTGTACAGGAACTGATTTTGCCTGAAGGAAGAAGTTGGCAAAAAATGTTTCCTTAAAGTTATAAGCAATCAATATGAAATCCCAAAGGTGATGTGCTTTAATTTTTTTGTTGTTTTGAAATTTTATTTCCAAAATCAGAAAATATAACTCTTTATGTATTAACATGCAAGAAAGTACCCTCCCAGGAAAGATGAGCTGCCCCTACAGTAAGAAGGAGACTGAGTCAGGAGTGGGGAGGCATTAGGTCTCAGTAGAGTGCGAGGAAGGCTGTTAAACTGCCCTGCGATCAGACCAGGAGGGTAATCAATGAAACAGTTCTAACTTTGCTATAATATGCCATGTAAACAGCACAGAATATTTTTCAAAGTACTTTTCCTCATAAAATTACTGTAAGTTAAGTACACATTATTATCTGAGAGGAAAGGTGGAAGGGAAATTGAGGTGAATACCATTAATTAGTGAAATATTTATATTTTCTTAAATACTGTAGGAGGTATACTAAATCACAGCTTTCTGTGTTTTCCCTGAGAAGTGGGGTGTTGATGTTACAAACCAAAACATATAGAAGTATCTTCAGAAATGGCAGAGGTTAGAGTTTTGTTAAGCAACACCTAAATTGCCTCAAAGAGATTTTTGGTGGAAATATGGATGTTAAAGGTGATTTTGCTAGGGCCTTATAAAAAAAGGAGGAGCATATTTGCAGAGAAAGTTTTTGAGAATACATATATCATTATGAACAGAATATTGGTAGAAATATATATTTTAAAAGTGGTTTGTGTGACTATGGAGAGCTGTGTGGAGATTTCTGGACCTACTAAACATAGAGCTTCCATAGGATCCAGCAATCCCACTCCTAGGTATTTACCCAAAGGACACAGAAACATCAATTCCAAAGAACACCTGCACCCCTATGTTTACAGCAGCACTGTTTACAATAGCTAAGCTTTGGAAACAACGCAAATGCCCAAAAATAGATGACTGGATCAAGAAGATGTGGTACATATACACCATGGAATATTACTCAGCATTCAAAAAAGATAAAGACATGCAATTTGCAGCAACATGAATGGCGCTGGAAGGGATCATGCTCAGCGAAATAAGCCAGAAAGAAAAAGAAAAATACCGGATGGTCTCACTCATAGCAGGAATCTAGAAAACTTAATTAAGGGACCAGGAAAATGAATAACTATAAGAAAGTGAAAATCAAAATCAACAAAAAACTATGAACCAGAGACACTTTTTGGGGGGTGGGGGGCGGAGGGGGAGGGATTGGGGTCAAAATGGGGGGATTGCAATTGTATGGGGAATATAAAAATAAAATTTATTATTAAAAAAAAAAGTGGTTTGTGTGAGTTCTGAGATGGAAATAAGCAACATATTAGTAGAAACTGGAGGAAAGGATTTTTCTTATAAACTTGCAAAGAACTTGGCTGAATTGTGTTCTAGTGTTTTGTGGAAAGGAAAACTCGTAAGTAATAACTTGACAAGTAGCTAAGGAGATCTCTAAGCAAAGTGTTAAAGAGCATCAGAAACTGAAGATTTAGAAATTTCTCAGTCTATCCCTATCATAATAATGGCAAAATAATAATAATAATGTTCTGGTTTGGCTGGACCACCAATTGAAAGGTTACTCATGTCACTTATGGGGTAATCAACCATCTCAAAGGAAGCAAGACTGGAGATCTGGTGATTAGGAAAGGATACACTTCTTGTCTGATAGCTTGGACCTCTGTGAAATGCATGGAATGCCAACAAGGTTCTTGACAATTTTATATCAGCAAAAAATCTGTCAGCTAGGATCGGAGGGGGCTGAGATGGGATGAAATACAAAATACCAGCAAAACGAACCATGAAACAAATGAATAAGCTGATTTGGTGAGACTGACTGTAAATGGCTACCATTGATGCCAAGAAACCTGTGTGACTAGAACTAGTTAAATAGAAGGTACTTTGTGGAAAGTCTTCTTCTTTTACATAGTCACTCAAAAATAAGATATTAACTTTGTGTGCACAACCCTTCGGAGGAGAAAAAATAATAAACTTACAAATGCCTCTGTTTTTTGTAACAACTCGTGCTTTTCAATCTGTAGCTTGGTGATCTCCGCAGATTGTGAGTTTAATTGAGACTTTAATATTGTCAGCTCCTAAAAGACAAAAATAGCTGAGTTGTAACAATGAATAGCATTAACTGCATCAAAGAAATGTCTATTTACAGGAAGAAATAAAAATAAACTTTTTTTTTTAACCTTACCCTTTAAAATCACAACTCCCAAGTTTAAAAATCTAACTCTAAGGAACTATTCTTAAACTTCAAAGTGAACAAGATGATGAATTAAATACATTAATTTACTGCTGCTTTCTCCTGAGATCTGCTGTAAAAATAAAATGAAGGGAGAGAAGGAGGAAGACAATCACAAGGACAAACAATAAAAGAAAAGAACAATAAAACTGGGCAATTCCAGAAAGTAAATGACAGTGGCAACCAACTCAACATACCTGAGAAAGTGGAAACCTAACTGACTTACAATGGCATCACTCCCAAAAGGCTGGGGAACTGTGCCACCAGGTATTTCTGAAAGTGTTGGAGAAGAGTGGAATGAAAATAACAGGGCTGGCTGACAGTATAATTACAGAATATACATGTCCATGTCATCATCCTGGTGGAAGACTATAGGCTCATTATTTGGAAAAAGCAATATAGCAATATAGCATCAAACATAGATGAAAACAGTAGTACTGTTTGGGGGCCTCCCTGGTGGTGCAAGGGGTTGAATCTTTGCACTATAAAGCTACTGGCAGCCACTGCAGCACAAGTTCGATCCCTGGCCAGGGAGTGGAACCACATGTCGCAGCAGACTTCTCAGACTTCTGTCTTGCCCGCTGCTCCCCTCAGCAGTGTATTTCAGTCAACCTGCCTGTTGTGCTTCCCATTCTGTCTTTGGTGATTCCTTTCATCCCCCCACCACACACTTTTGTTGTACACCCCAGTTCTTGCATGCATAAATAAATCTTAAAAAAAAAAAACAAAAAAAAAAACTGTAGTACTGTAGTGAAAACGGGGAAATTAACTTAAAGTTTACACGTTATTAAAGCTGAAACTTCCAACTACCTTGCTATCTCTTTCCAAAAAATATACAGGAAAAGAAAAACAATTATAACGGTGGTTTCAACCAGGGGTGATCCCTCCCATAGCATTTGGCAATCCTGGAGACACTCGTAAGTGGAGACATTGGGTAAGTAGTGGGATGCTGTCCTGCAGGAAGCTCTTTTCTTTTCCTGTTAAAACTTTTCATCATGTACACGAGGCTTTTTTGATTGTTTTGTCTTTCCAGTTATCAGAATGATATACATAGGGATTGAGATTATGGACCATTTCATTTTCTTCTTCATACAGTATTTAATGATATTTGTAAAAACAAAACTCACATTTAAAATATTTTTAAACAATCAAAAATTTGTAAAAGAAAATAAACTGCAAAAGTAAAAGAAAAAGCAATTTTCTTTTATAAAAAGATCAAAAGTTTTACTGGGAGACCCAAGATATAAAAATTTTACTTGAGATTTACAAACTAAGATTACGTTAACAACTTAATTCCCTTTAATTTTAATTCTAATGTAGGCTCACTTAATAAAACCCAAAAGACATATTAATCTTCCTCACAAGAACAGAACACGTGGAAAATGTATTAGAGATTTGTAAATCCTTAACAATTGAGATTAAAAAAAAAAAAAAAAAAGCTTGGTTGTATGTACTTAACCCAGAATCTATTCTGGGGCACAGAGACAATGAAGCAAGACACAGTTTCTCTGAATATAGTCTTTCCTCTCAGGTCAGCCATGTCAGTGAGCTGGGGCTAATTGGCTAGTAAGGGAGAAGGAGATCAGTCCTAGGTTCATTAGAAATGTACTGTCTTTTTTAAAGAAATATATATTCTTTTTATAAGAAAGGAATAACAGAGGAGATGGATGGAAGAAAAAAAAAGAAAAGAAAAAAGACTATTTAGGAATATACTAATATACGATCTGGTACTCTTCTAGAGGCATCTACTTGAGTGAGAAATATAGCAGTTTATCCCTTTCCCAATTCTAAAAAGCAACATTATTCCTGGAAAGAATGGTTTAAATATCTAACACATTCAGCCAAGCAATTTCACAGTCAATAGTATATAAAAATTAGGAATAAAATCTATATCTTCATAGGTTAGCTTATGATTATTTAAATTTTCCTAAATTGGTCATTCACTGATAATCTACAAATAATCTGGGTGAGATTTGTTAAAAAGAACACCACTGAACACAATAAAAAGCACAGTGTCACTTCTATGTAATAAAAAAACTCAAGATTTTCAAATGGGGCCTCCCTGGTGGCGCAAGGGGTTAAGCACCACACTATGAAGCAATCCGGAGTTCGATCTCCGGCTGGCCCGGGAGAATCCCACATGGCGAGGCAGACCTCTCCTGTCTCTCCTGCTGCTCCCCTCAGCAGTGTATTTCAGTCAATCTGCCTGTTCTGTGCCCCACTCTGTGTCTGGTGGATCCTCTCACCCCCACCCCGCATCTCTGGCCTGTACCCCAGCTCTTGTATGCATAAATAAATCTTAAAAAAAAAAAAAAATTCAAATGGCTGCCTTCACTATCAAATTTTACCCCAGACAAAGTAGTTCTAGGTTAATAGAACCAGGGCTATTACTCTTTTATAATCAAAATAAGACAAAAATAGAACTTGTTCAAGCTGGCAAATTACCTGTTCCAATTTTGCAACTTGTTCAGGATATCTAGTTGAAGCTATTACTGAAGATGGTTCACTCATGTCAGGTGACGTTTGGGAAGATTTCTACAGATAGTATAGAAACAAGCCATGAAATTCAGGCAAAAGAAATGGGAAAAGCCCAAAGTAGAACTTCTTTTATGAAAAAATTTCACATTGACATTTTAATTTTTATACCCAAGACACAATTTCAGCACAGAACATACTGTCTACAACTTTCCATAGTGAACGCATTTATACTTACACGAAGTAATTCACTGGATCTAAGCACTTACCTGAAGTCATGTGGAAAAAGCATCAAGGCAGGTATTTATTGAGTAATTTCCATGTATTTTACAGAATATCTCATTTAATTCTTACAACAATGAAAGAGAAAACTAAGTTTCTTTAACTCAATTAGCTAGGAAGAACCACTAAAGCTTTATTTATTTATTTTTAATTTTATTTTTATATTCCCCATACAATTACAACCCCCTTATTTTGACCCCAATGTCTCCTTCCCCTCCCCCACCCCCCAAAGAGTGTCTGTGGTTCATAGTTGTTTGTTCATTTTGATATTTTCTTTCTATAGTTATTCTTTTTCCTAGTCCCTTATTTAAGCTTTCTAGATTCCTGCTATGAGTGAGACCATCTGGTATTTTTTTCTTTCTGGTTTATTTCGCTGAGCATGATCCCTTCCAGCTCCATTCATGTTGCTGCAAATTGCATGTCTTTATCTTTTTTGAATGCTGAGTAATATTCCATGGTGTATATGTACCACATCTTCTTGATCCAGTCATCTATTTTTGGGCATTTGGGCTGTTTCCAAAGCTTAGCTATTGTAAATAGTGCTGCTGTAAACATAGGGGTGCAGGTGCTCTTTAGAATTGATGTTTCTGTGTCCTTTGGGTAAATACCTAGGAGTGGGATTGCTGGATCATAAGGAAGATCTATGTTTAGTAGGTCAAGAAATCCCCACACAGCTCTCCATAGTGGTTGGACTAGTTTGCACTCCCACCAACAGTGCAGGAGAGTTCCTTTTTCTCCACAACCTCGCCAACATTTGTTGTTGCTAGTTTTTTTAATATGTGCCATTCTCACTGGTGTGAGATGGTATCTCATTGTAGTTTTGATTTGCATTTCCCTGATTACAAGTGATGTTGAACATTTTTTCAAATGCCTGTTGGCCATTTGCATTTCCTCTTCGGAGAAGTTTCTTTTTAGCTCTTGTGCCCATTTTTTGACTGGATTATTTTCTTTGTTTTTGTTGAGTCTCATCAGCCCTTTGCAGATTTTTGTGATCAGTCCTTTATCATTAGTGTTGGGTGCAAAAATGTTCTCCCAGTTGGTGGGGTTTCTCTTTGTTTTTGTTATTGTCTCTTTTGCTGGGCAGAATCTCTTTAATTTGATGTAGTCCCAGCTGTTGATCTTTTTTTAAAAAAAAGATTTATTTATTTATTTATACAAGCACTGAGTACAGTCAGAAGTGCGGGAGGGTGAGAGAATTCACCAGAGCCAGAGCGGGGAGCAGAATAGGCAGACTGGCGAAGATGTACACTGCTGAGGGGAGCAGCGGGTGCAGCAGGAGAGGTCTGTCGCGCCATGTGGGACCCTCGCCGGTGGCCAGGGATCGAACCTGCGCTGCAGAGGCTTCGGGCAGCTTCACAGCCCAGCGCTCAACCGCTGGGCCACCAGGGGGACCCCCCCTTTTTAAAAATATTTATTTATTTATACAATCACTGGGTACAGTCAGAAGCACAGGAAGGTGAGAGCATTCACCAGAGCCAGAGCAGTGAGCAGAACAGGCAGAAGGACTGAAGTACACTGCTGAGGGGAGCAGTGGGAGGCAGGAGAGGTCTGCGCGCCATGAGGGACCCTCGCCTGGCAGGCGGCCGGGGATCAAACTGGCACTGGAGAGGCTGCTGGCAGCTTCACAACCCAGTGCTCAACCTCTGCACCACTGGGGAGGCCCCCAGCTATTTATCTTTGCCTTCACTATCCCTGCTTTGGGTGATGTGTCTGTAAAGATGTCTTTGATGTGCATATCATGTAGTGTTTCGCCTATATTTCCTTCTATGTATTTTATGGTCTCAGGTCTTATGTCTAGTTCTTTAATCCATTTTGATTTGGTTTTTGTGTATGGTGTGAGGTAGTAGTCAAGCTTCATTCTTTTGCATGTAGCGACCCAGTTTTCCCAGCACCATTTATTAAACAAACTTTCTTTGCTCCAATGCATAGTCTTTGCTCCTTTGTCAAAGATTAGTGGACCATAAATCTGTGGGTTTATTTCTGGATTTTCTATTCGATTCCATTGGTCTGTGTGTCTATTCTTGTTCCAATACCATGCAGTTTTGATGATTATGGCTTTGTAGTATAGTTTGAAGTCTGGGAGTGTGATGCCTCCATTCCCTTCTTTTTTTCAGGAGAGCTTTGGCTATTTGGGGTTTTTGGTGATTCCATATGAATGTCATCAATAATTGTTCTATTTCTTTGAAGAATGACATTGAAATTTTGATTGGAATAGCATTGAATCTGTAAATTGCTTTTGGTAGGATGGCCATTTTAATAATGTTTATTCTTCCAATCCATGAGCAGGGGATGTCTTTCCATTTCTTTGTGTCTTCTTCTATTTCTTTTAACAGTGTTTTATAGTTTTCTTTGTATAGGTCCTTTACCTCCTTTGTTAGATTTATGCCCAAGTATTTGATTTTTTTTGTTTCAATAATAAAAGGGATGGTTTTTTTGATTTCTTCTTCTTCAGATTTATTGTTTGTATATAGGAAGGCTACTGACTTTTGCATGTTGATTTTGTATCCTGCCACTTTACTGAACTGATTGATTAGCTGAATTAGTTTTTCTGTGGAGTTATTGGGGTTCTCTATGTATATTATCATATCACCTGCAAATAGTGATAGTTTGACTTCTTTTCCTATTTGGATTCCTTACCACTGACTTTAAACAGTCTGATACCATATCTCATATTCTAAAACCTTAATATGATTTTTAGATCAAAGGATCCAGCAAAATGAACAAGTAATAAGAATTACATTTTCCTATTTAAAAATTTTTTAATATGTACTTACCAAATTTTCAATTAAATGGTCTTTTTCAGCCAGCTGATTTTGTAAAAGCTCCTGGCTACTTTTTAATTCTTCTATCTCTTCTCGTAATCTACCAATTTCTTCTGGCTGAATGCCATTCATCTGAGCCCCATCATTGTAAGAACCTTGATGCTGATGGTCTTTTCCTATTAGACAGACAAAAAGTTTGAAAAGCCATGATGAAACTTATGTTTTGAATTTTTTGAATTAGAAGATTCAAATATAAAAAATACAGAATTTCCTTAGCTCAACTGCTTTGGCTGCAATTTTGTAAACACGTTTGCAAAACAGTGTATTGATAAAAACAGTAAATGGTAATATTTTTAGGATTTAGAACTTCTGGGGTGAAAACAGCATAATCTTATTAAGACTAAACGGATTGCTTTGGTACCTATGATCAAGAATTACAGTAATTTCACTTTAACTCTGTCAATTAATACGAGAAAATAAAATCCTTTAGAAATTGTCACAGGGCCTCCAGAATGGTGCACGGGTTAAAGACAGTGCTATCAAACTATAGCTAGCCACGGCAGCACAAGTTCGATGCCCTGCCCCTCTGCATTCCAGGGAGCTGATCCACATGGCACAGCAGACCTCTTCAGCCTCACCCGCTGCTCCCCTCAGCAGTGTATTTCAGTGGATCTGCCTGTTCTGCTCCCCACTCTCTTTGATGAACCTTCTCACTCCCCCCAACTCTGGTCTACACTCCAGTTCTTGTATGCATAAATAAATAAATCTTTAAAAAAATAAAAATAAAAATTGTCACAAAGGAATGGCCTTCTATATGAAGTAAAATAATTGATGAATTATTGTCATAAAGGAAGCAAAAGATTGTTTCCTGAAAATTTTAGTGACCTTCATATAAATAAACTAACATTCCTATCATAAGTATTTGATATATTTATGATATATTTATAAGCATCTGAGCTTTTACCAAGTGCCAGGCACCGAACTTGAATTTTACACATTAATGTTTCACTTCAATCGCAGATGACATTTTGTAGATAAGGAAATGGAAGGGTTAGACTGGTCATTCTAAACTGGCTATACATTAGAACCCCTGAGGAGTTTGTTATTACTGATGCCAGCATCCAACCCCAACTGATTAAATCAGAAACTCCAGTGGGGTCTCACTATTGTTTTTTAAAAATACATCTCAGGAGGGCCTCCCCGGTGGCGCAGCGATTGAGCGCTGGGCTGCGAAGCGCTGGTTCCATCCCCGGCTGCCAGCGAGGGTCCTACATGGTGCGCAGACCTCTTCTGCTGCACCCGCTGCTTCCCTCAGCAGTGTGTTTCATCAGTCTGCCTGTTCTGTTCCCCGCTCTGGCTCTGGTGAATTCTCTCACCCTCCTGTGCTTCTGACTATACACAGTGCTTGTATAAATAAATGAATAAATCATTAAAAAAAACACATCTCAGGAGATTCTAATGTGCTGACAAGGTTAAGAATAACTAGGCTGAATGAGATAAACAGGTAGCAAGGATCTTAGACTAGAAAATCTAATTTACATATTCAATGATTAATTTACATAACCATTAATTTAAGGTTGGAGAAAGATTCCATGGGAACAATCGGACTTTGTCCAGGTCTTGGGAATACTACAATAGTGACAGCTTGCTACACTTACCTAGTTGTACTTTAAGAAGATTATACTGATCCTTGTGTTGTTGAATCTGAGCTACTTGCTGTGTTACTGCTGTCTGGAGCTGTTCATTTTGACATTGTAATGAAGAAATCTGCTGTTTTAATTCTTCAAGTTGTAGATCCTGTGATACAAAACATAACTCAAGTGTTTTAAATTCATACTAATTAACATTAAGGACAAATTAAAAAATAAGACTGTTTTGGGTCAGATGTTAAAATACTTGACATTTCCAAAATCATTCCATAATTAAGTAGTAATACACTAATGTGCATAAAGGCCAATTAACATGCAGCAGACTTCAAATAAGGACCCGTTAATAAAGGATTATGACACAGCTTTGCAATGACACATTGCAATCACAGGCAGTGGAATTTGGGGCTTGGGGTGGACATTAGGATGGGTGGACCATAACTCCATTTTATGGTCCATTAAGTCATTTAAGAAATTTACCCGAAACTATTTTAAAAACTTAGTAAATGTACATATACATATGCATCTACATACTTTTAATATTAAAAGAAGATCATTAACAGAACATTTAAAAGACTGAAAAAAGAGCTTCCAACTCTCACTACCGTAATATAGCTAGTTATAATTTGAACTACTTTTTTTACTCCTATTTTCTTCAATCCAAGGTTTAAAAACTTGTCATAATCAACCTATGTATAATTTTATAAATTATTTCATAACTTATATGCTCACTATCTAATCAGTAAATGCAATATAATTTATATTCAAAAGCAGTACTGAGGTTGCTTTTCATTTTTCTAAATGGCAAATGCTACAATAAAATTGTGGTTCATATAATTGTTTTCCTGAATTTTGAAGAATTTCCTTAGGATGGATTCTCAAACGCCATTTTAAAGAGTGAAACTCTTTAAAATTAACATTTCTAAGAAGAGTTCACTATAGTGATGGTGTCAAACCTCTCTTTCCTTCTTCCAAATTAACCATATTCATCAGCCCCCACTATAGGCAATAATATCACATTACAAGTACTTGTGTACTATGGCTCCAACGATATTACATTTTACCATTAGGGAATAACTGCATATTTATACCAAGATACAGATGGAAAATCCTATAAACCACAGGTAGTTTAATGATTCAAATTGGATCATTCAAAGATGACTGTAATTTACTGATTTGCTTGTAAACTGAAAAATTTAGATTAAATGCTAAAAACACCACTATATTTCTTTCTTTCTTATAACCTCAATCTCAACAATAGAGATTATGGGGAAGAGAAGAACCTATGGGCAGTTCTCATTTAGAAGGCTCTATTCACACTCTTACTTGACACATTGCCTCAAATCAGTAAAGGGAGGCAAGCAGTTGAGGAAAGGAGGTATAACCTGCCCCATGTGGATACCACTAGTGTGTGTGTTTTTTTTTAATGAAACTGAAATTTTAATTACATCAATAATCTCATTTCCCAGATAATACTGCAGCATTTTCCAGGATTCTAATCAAGGTTACACAATGGGAATTAAATGAGAGGGGAGAAAATTCCAGAAACACATGTTGAAGGAATGTAATGGAAGGTTTAGGATGTTTAACACAATGCCAATATGGAGTTTCACTGTAAGTGCATCATTCTGAAAATACAATTTCAATAGAAATCATCATTGTCCACTCTAAAAAATCAATTCCTTACACCATTTATCTAACTCATTATCACCTATTCAGTTGTGCAAGACAGAAATCTAAGGATGATATGTGACCCTTTCTGTTCCTTCATACTGGAATGCACTCATCACAAGTTCTGCCAGTTTTATCTTCTTTGGTTTCCATACTTCTCAGGTTCTGACTCCTCTACACCATAGTATGAGAGTCCCAGTAGTACATATGTACTGGAATTCTGTTTCATCAGTTACTGAGTGATACTGGACAAGTTTAAGTTCCCTAAGCCTCAAATTCCTCATTTATTCTAAATTGAATATAAAAATTGCTTTGTAGGTATGTTGTGAAAATTAAATGAGATAGCATTTAAAAATGTGCTTAGTGGGCCTCCCCTGGTGGTGCAGGCGGTTGAGTGCAGTGCTGTGAAGCTGTCAGCAGCCTCTGCAGCGCGGGTTCGATCCCAGTCTGCCGGCAAGATACCCACATGGTGCAACAGATCTCTCCTGTCTCGCCCGCTGCTTCCCTCAGCAGTGTATTTCAGTCAGTCTGCCTGTTCTGTTCCCTGCTCTGTCTCTGGTGAATCCTCTCACCCTCCTGCACAGCTGGCCTGTACACTGGTTCTTGTATGCATGAATAAATAAATCTTTAAAAAAAAAAACGTGCTTAGTGAACACTTACAACTGAGTAAACAAAAACTAGCAGCTGGGCCTCCCCAGTGGCCCAGCGATTGAGCGCTGGGTTGCGAAGCTGCCCGCAGCCTCTGAGGCACCAGTTCGATCCCCGGGTGCTCCCCGGCCACTGGAGGAGGGTCCCGCATGGCGTGCAGACCTCTCCTGCTGCCCGCTGCTCCCCTCAGCAGTGTACTTCGGTCCTTCTGCCTGCTCTGCACCCTGCTCTGGCTCTTGTGAATCTCTCACCCTCCCGCGCTTCTGACTGTACCCAGTGCTTGTATAAATAAATAAATAAATCTTTAAAAAAAAAAAAAAAAACCTAGCAGCTATCAACAGCAGTCATCATCAGTTTCCCAATTTCTATCTCCAGTCCACCACAACTATGTTCTTAGGCTCCCTTCCTCTGGCCTTGTTTCTTATACTTCCCCTTTGTATAGCTACCAAGTATTTTATGAACATGCAGTGACACCTCCTGTCTCTCTTCCCTATCTCTTCTTTTGTGCAGCTGACTCCTAGGCACCCTTAGAAAACTAACTTGTATTTTTTCTAAATCCCTGTTCCTACACTAAATTAGGTACCTCTTAGTGCTGCTATATAACTTCTATTATTTATATCACTAAACTTAGTGTTATGTGTTAGAATAATCTATGTACAGTTTGTTTGAGAGTGTGATATGGGGACATGTATGATTTATATTTTTATCCACAACACCATGCATAATATGAAGCTCTGAGTTATTAAATACTCAGATGCTTTTGAGTCATTTAGGAAAACAAGTTTTGCTCTTTGTATCCTTCTGCACTTGAAGTACCAGAAAAAATTCTCTAAAGTAGGGAAGCATTTATTAGTATATCAGAGTGTATATAATTCATCAGTACATGCCTGCTCTCGAATCATATTTTTGTAGTGAGTCACAATGCTGTCATGCTGTTCTAATGTTTTCTTCACCTCCTCTTCTTCTTTATCTTCTTCACTTGACTTATAAATAGCCTTAGTGATCACACCTGTAAAAGAAAGTTTATTTAAAATTTGTTTAGGGCCTCCCCGGTGGCGCAGCAGTTGAGCGCTGGGTTGCGAAGCTGCCTGCAGCCTCTGCAGCGCCAGTTCGATCCCCGGCTGCTCCCCGGCCACTGGAGGAGGGTCCCGCATGGCGCACAGACCTCTCCTGCCGCCCGCTGCTCCCCTCAGCGGTGTGCTTCGGTTCTTCTGTCTGCTCTGCTCCCCACTCTGGCTCCGGTGAATTCTCTCACCCTCCCGCGGTTCTGACTGTACCCAGTGCTAGTATAAATATATAAATAAATAAAAACAAACAAAAAAAAAAAACAAGAGTTCTCCTTAAAAAAAATAAATAAATAAATAAAATTTGTTTAAACTTTTAAATATTTCAAATGTTTTTTTTTTTTTTTTAAAGATTTATTTATTTATTTATACAAGCACTGGGTACAGTCAGAAGCGCGGGAGGGTGAGAGAATTCACCAGAGCCAGAGCGGGGAGCAGAGCAGGCAGAAGGACGGAAGTACACTGCTGAGGGGAGCAGCGGGCGGCAGGAGAGGTCTGCACGCCATGTGGGACCCTCCTCTGGTGGCCTGGGAGCAGCTGGGAATCAAACTGGTGCTGCAGAGGCTGCGGGCACCTTCACAACCCAGCGCTCAACCGCTGAGCCACCGCCACCGGGGAGGCCCATTAGCAATATTTTTGAATGCCATATGGGCTATAAAGCAAGAGGTAGGAAAAAAAAACCCTACTTTTAGGCTTATCAAATAAGCAGTATATGTTCAGAATATACATACATAATACAATCGTGGATACTTTCTAATGATTATCAATATAAACTTTCTAATCTTACCTTCAAGTTCTTTTACTAGCTTCGTAAACTCATGATCAAATATCATACATTCTGGAGTGGGAAAATTTGGCTGGGGTTTCTGGGATGCTCTGGAATACAACTCATGTTTGCTAATAAATCCCAGTTTCTCTATGAAATTCTCTTTGCCAATCCTCTTCTCTATTAGTTGTTTAAGTTTCTCTCTACAGAAATAAGCATATTGAGATATTTAAAATAAAAAAAAAGTCATAACAGAACATAAAGGTTGGTCTACGTTGTACTTCAGTAAAATATGTTAGCATTATCTCTTGATAGCATTAGCAAGTTATTTTATGATAGCATTTTCCCGACTTACTTCATGTAGCTCTCAAGTGAGTTATCATTGAAGTAAATTGAAATGCCCAATAGAAGGGCACATAAACCTTGAACCAATTGTTCTTCTTCTCCAAGATTTTCTGCAATTTGTCCTGTAAGCTGAAATCTTTGTTAAGGAGATTAATGATTTATAATATCTAGAGTACTTTGTTTTACAATTTGAATTTGATATATCCTTTATGTAAGAGTTCCATATACAGCCCACACAAGCATAAAACAATCAATGAAGCACACACACACACACACACACACACACACACCATCTTAAGCAACCATCATTACCACTTGAACACTTTAAAAAGTTGTAACACAGATAAGCAGAATTTTAAAAAAATACTTACATGTATCTTACTAAAACATAAAGGATACAAATGGAACATTGGCTGAATTGTGAAGAAAATGTGTTACCGCAATAGGACAATTGCTCAGCCAGGTACAAAGCAACATTAATAATCCAACTCTTGTCTGTATTTTGCTTCCCTGTAAATAGATAAGTTGGCAGAAATATCTTTCCATTCATTTTATTTTTTCTCCACAGTTAAAGTTGCCCTAATACTCTTTCCATTTGTATAAAATGAATTTTAACATCTTATAAAAGAAGTGCCAAAAATCCAGATTTAAAAAAAAAATTGACCAGAGAATGCACTCTTGCATCTTCCACAGGCTATATTTCCCAAAGTGAATGGAGAGCAAGAAACCAGAATTGGCTCGGGCCTCCCCCGTGGCGCAGCAGTTGAGCGCTGGGTTGCAAAGCTGCCCGCAGCCTCTGCAGCGCTGGTTTGACCCCCCGCTGCTCCCTGGCCACTGGAGGAGGGTCCCACATGGCGCGCAGACCTCTCCTACCGCCCGCTGCTCCCCTCAGCAGTGTACTTCCGTCCTTCTGCCTGCTCTGCTCCCCGCTCTGGCTCTGGTGAATTCTCTCACCCTCCCGCGCTTCTGACTGTACCCAGTGCTTGTATAAATAAATAAATCTTAAAATATATATATATATTAAAAAAAAAAAGAAATCAGAATTGGCTCACATTCGTAAGCACCTGCTAGGGAATCTAAAATACTAGTCATAAAAAAACTGATGTGCCAAGAAATTTATGATGAGAAACTTAAAAAAAATTATCAATCCTAAGACACTTTATTCTAGTATGATAAATTTGCCTGGTTTCAGCCAGAATTTTAAAAGTAAGTTTTGATAGGAGGTTAAATACTACCTTCTTCAAAAAACATCAAAAAAAGTACAAAGAAATAATCTCCTGAATTATATGGTCAACTTTCATTAGACAATATATTATCTAACAAGAAAAAAAAAGTATTAAAAATTTATAGATAATATACCAGATAATAAGAAATCACAAGCACAATAAAGCAAAAAAGGTCTGGTTAAATTAGCTAATTGATGTAAACCACTAACTGTATTGCTGCAAAGTACAGTAAAGCAATACTGAAAACTAGCATGTCCATCAAAATTTTGTTTTCTAAATTTTAAATGCCTATATTTTGATACTATAACCTGTATCTTTGTTTCAGATAAAATTTGTTTAAAACAAAATAATGAAAACTAGCACAGTAAAGCATCACTTTAGGGCAATTTCAGAAAATATCCAAATTATAATTATTCAAAAATCAAGGCAAGACTTTCAAGTAACCATCACTAGATTTTGAAAACTTTTGATCATCCAGTCTGTACTAATTTTGTGAAGCTTGATAGTAATATTTTGGCCTTTCTATAAGCTGTTTTCAAGCATATTTAACATTGAATTAAATAATTTGAAGTCAGACCTCTTCAAATTATTTGCCAAGTAAGCATTAATTAGTATGAATTCAGTTTTCAGATGAAGCATTATTTTTTTCTTTCCTTGCCCTATATCATCACTATCCTATAATTTATCTTCCTGTTGCCACATAAATTGAAAAGTTAAAAAAGTTATTCTCAACTGACTGCTATAGAAAGTTTACAATTAATTACTCAAGCTATAAATGCAAATGATTTGCTAATTTCCCCTGTTTATATATAATAAGTCTGCTATTATTCTTTAGAATACCATTTGCAATATAACTACAGTATCTATAACAAGGACATTCTATCAAATCATTGGCTGATGACTGGATAAACAAAAATTTATATACATTCAAATTTGAACCTTCTAGAAGTATACCCTTGGAGTCTAACTGAAGGGTAAGAGCAAAGCCAAACACAGCTAGTTAGAACTAATTTTAAGGTAGACCAGCACATCTCATTGCTATAGTAAAATAGCAATAAAAGAAGATAATCTAAAACAAAAGTCTGAAAAAAATCTGAACCAAAACACCAAGTCAAAAGACAAGTAACATCAGGAAAAAGAAAATATTAGTAACTCATTACAGAAAAAAGCTAAATTTTCTAATGTACCATGAGTTCTTATAAAACAAGAAATGATTAACTATCCTAAAGGAAAATGGGCAGATGGCATGAAACTGAAGAAAGGAGAGCTGATGGAAAAATTTCAAATGGTGTGTAAGCATATAAAGCTACTCAACCTTTAAGTAAGAGAAATGTAAATTAAAACTCACTGAGGTAACATTTGTCACTTCTCAACAGATTGGCAAAAATACAAAGTCAGACAACATGCTGTTAGTGAGGCTTCGTGGAAACTCAATCAGGTACACTGCAATCCTATTTCATTTTGCTAGTGGAAGTACAAATTGGTATGAGGTAAAAAAAAAACCAAGGTGCAGAACAATGCATATGTTTAAAAGCACTCTAAGTGTCTATTCAGCATTTCTGCCCATCTTTTGATTGTTTTCTTTTGAAGACTACAGAAGAAATGAGTAAGAGGATGTGGGACACTAAGGTAGATACTGTATACCTTTTAATATAATTGATTTCTAAATCATATATTACCCATTTCAAAACAAAACATTTTTTTAAAGGACTGAAGTTTTAATTCCAAGAATGGCAGTATGGTATCAGTGAAATCAATTAGAAGAACCAAACCTTTTATTGTCCTACCTTCAATAAATTCAATATGCTAACGTGGGCCCCAATTTCATCATTTAGTAAACAGAGACAGATTAAATGATCTCAAAAACAGAGGTTAAGAAGATAGGCTCTAATGTCAGATTATGAGTATTTATTTTCTGAGTCTACACTTCAACATCCATGAAAATGGAGGCAGGGCCTCCCTGGTGGTTAAGACGCAACCTATGAAGCAATTGGCAGCCTCTGCAGCATGAGTTCGACTCCCTGGCCGGCCAGGGAGAAACCCACATGGCGCAGCAAACCTCTCCTGTCTCGCCCGCTGCTCCCCTCAGCAATGCATTTCAGTCAGTCTGCCTGTTCTGTTCCCCACTCTGTCTTTGGTGAATCCTCTCACCCCCCTACACCTCTGGTTTGTACCCCAGCTCTTTTATGCATAAATAAATCTTTAAGAAAAAAAAAAAGAAACCGGAGGCAATTTAGTTAACTTCTCCTCCTCCTTAAATTGGGATAATAGTTAATACCCATGCCACAGGGTTGTGTAGTGGGCTAAATGGGTTCATGCATCTAAAGAACTTAGATCAGAATATGGCACACAATAAGTGCTCTACAAATGTTATCAACTATTATCCCTCCTAGCTCTACAATCCTATGACTATACCTGCTAGCAGATATAATGTCCTAAATATAAAACAGATGTCAGAATAAAATTGGAACTGGGAAAGGAAAAAAAGCAATTACATAATTGTGATTTTTTTTTTTTAATTTCAATGAACTACAAGCCATCCTTGCTGTGTTGCACTAGCAGAAATCCATGTATACCAGAAACGTGCAAAGTGAGGACTGTGTAATTTTTGTGCAGACTGCATTATCCATGAAACCATAATGTACAATAGAGAAAGATGGGAGAAAATTACGTGTACAAAAATAAGAAGATAATTAACCTATGGCATAATTGTTCGGTAAAATATTATGCAATAATATAAAGTGATATTGATTTTGAGTTTAATAATGTGGAAAAAAATTAAAATAAAAAACAGACTACAAAATGTAACCTAATGTATGATCATTGCTATGTAAATAAATAGTTTAGGGAAAAAAAGGAAAAAAGACAGGTTTTACCAATGTCTTTCGGTGGTAGAACAAAGGGCATTATTCTCTTCTAATTTCTATTTTTCTAACATTTGCAAAAATGACAAGAAAAATAATCTATTAGCCAGTGTAAAATTGCTACAGTATTTTTCCATAATGTCAAGAAAAAAAATGTTAAGAATAAGACCCATCCAGCAACATCCTGATCAAGTTAGAAATTGGGCATAGAAACCACAGATTTTATGGGATAAAAGAGATCCATAAACAAAACAATTGAAGCTGACTTGCTTGTAATGAAAGTTATTATGTTGCCCTAGTTACATTTTCTAAATAAAAATTCCTCTAAGTCTTACCTTATGCATTTCAAGTGTAGTATTTTTGTATTGTTTATTAAAAAAAATAAAACCTAATATTTTAAAATTTTAGTACTAAAATGTGGTTCTACAGTATTATAATAAGATTTATTTTCTAGAGGTGGCCTCTGGGATAGGAAATTAATAGGAAAGGGGTATGATGGAACTATCTGAGAGTATTAATGTCTACATTTTGTTTTAGGTGGTGGTTACACAGATATATTTAACCATAAAAATCATCAGATTGAACACTTAAGGTCTGTGTAGCTACAGCTGCCAAGTATGTCTTTATGTCAATTATTAACATGTTAAACTATGCTCACACATGAATGATACAATTCTTAACAAGAACTCAATTACCACCCACACTGCACAACTGAGCACATGCCCAAATAAGGATATTAAGGTACCCTTTTTTTCACCAAACATTCCACGAAACAAAAACAAATCCAAACCAAACACAAATAACAATCTCACCAACACATATCAAACACTAATCCCCATGGTTACTGCAGCATATGTGTTACATCCAGCATACTCTATAACATTTAATTTAAAAATCTTTCAAATTACAAAATTGTATTTGCTACTGAACATTTTCAGTAATCTTAACAATATAAAACTCATCACATTCTTTCATGCACAGATTAATTAAAGAAACAATTATCAACCCTAAATTTTATTACCTCTGAAATGGTTTCAGGGGAAATAAAGGAGCAGATTGGGTGAAAAAAACACAAACCCCACCAAAAAACCAGAACCAAAGAATTCCAGAAAGTGCAAGCATCCCCAAAGGAAGCACAAGTATAGCTTCAGATATTCATAGTTCTTAGTAACACCACTACAATATCCCATGGGAAAAATTGGAGAGCCACTTACAATAGAGATAAACTTGCTGATACACACAGGTGTGAGTAGAATATAACTTCAAACAAGCAGTTAAAAAACCAAACAGCAAAACCCAAGACAAAGAAAAGGCCTTGCTTTGAGAGAGAAAGGCCTTGCTTTAAGAGAGAAATGCCTAAGCTTAAACAAGTAATACATACCCGTCTGTCGATCTTATCACCCTGCAAATTATACATTAGAAATTATTCAAAAATTTTACTACTACTTTACAAAGATTTAAATCTAGAAAAAATTCCCTCAAATACAGTCTTTCTATAAAGCCATGTCAATAATTTTGGACTGGACAATTGCAATTATTTAGTGTATAAAAATGCACATACATTTTAGAAAAGACATTTTTATAGCACTGTGACTACTTAGAATGGGAAGATACAACTATTTTTTAAGGATTTTCATCATGCCTAAATGGGAATTACAATGATAGAATGAAGTCTGTGGTAATAATGGTCAGACAGTTAATTACTGTTTGGCTTACAAAAAGTTGTTTTCTACATATAATAACATAAGAATATCAAGTGTTAAGTAAGGATATGATATGACTATTTGGGGTAATTTTTAAAAATCATTAAAAGATAAATGATAAAGATAAAATAAAATTTCAAAGTAAACTGATTTTAAACAACAAAAGTTTTCAACTCCTTTTTCACTATAGTTAACTTTTAAGCTTTCATTTATAACTACCTATGGATGACACAGATGTTTGTTTAAAAGCTCACAATAAAACCATTCAATGAATGTGGCAAACAAAAATTAAGGGCAAGGCATGCTATCACGGGGAGGGTATAGGATAAAATTCCAGTGGATTAAACAATGTTAGCTTTATCCACACTTTTACTCTCTTTGAGTGGTTCTGAATGTTGCTAACTTTTGTACTTTTGCTAAAGCACGAACTTGAATTCTAAATAGCAAATCTAGCATACAAGAGCAAATCATCTAACAGTATCTGACATTCCTAAAAGCTAGCAGCCACATTATAATGAAGTTTTGTTGTTTTCATTATTTTAGTCATGTTTTTCTACATCTTACTAGGTAAACTACAAGGCTAAGGGACTTGAAGATTTGTAAGCTCACAAACATCAAGGATATATGTCTAACTATATAAGGAACAGACTAGTATTCTATCTTTTTTTTTTTCTGAAGGGAGTATCAGTTGCTCTAGGAAGATAAAGAGGGATACATAGCTATGGACCACTTTATTCTATTTCCTCTCCTAAACTGTCCTGAATTTAGATACTAATCAGAAAGGAAAAAATGACATGTAAGAACATTGGGGAAGATGAAAAACAAAACAAGCAAACAAACCAAAAAACCTCAGGCCCTAGGCATGTGTTTTCATCATGACATAGAACTTGTTAGCTATTTGGCAAACCATTCTTATAAGAATATTTATTTTCTCTCCACAAAAGTGTTTCTGGTTACAATGAACCAATGATCAGATAAGTCCTTGCCTCTTTCCTTTTCCTCTGCATCTACTAAGGGCATCCTTAAGTCTTTATATCACTGATAGCGAAATGTACAGTTGTAACTTTTATCCCCCTTAGAGAAGTTTCACCCTCTACTTTACCTGTGAGAGGATGTTGGTGCACTGTTGCAATAAAGAAACAGGAGGGTTGCCAATACTTGTAGCAAGTTGAACTCTGAGCAACTGTTCTTTCTGGGTAGCATTTTCTTGCAAAGCATGAGCAAGGGCCACAGCAGCACACCAGTTTGAAAGTGAATCAGTAGAAAACAAACCTCCGCATAACAGCTGACCAGCTGAGACTGAATTACCTGTTGCTACAAAGAGGTAAGTATGTCAATACAAAAATTAATTATGCTGTTTTCCATACATGCCGAATTAGTATGAAACGCTATTAAAAACTTGTTAATCATTTTCAAAAGATCTTGGAAGATAATTAACAGAACAAAGATAAATCAGGATGCTTAGGCATCAAATTGATGATGGATGTAAATATTCTAGAAAACTATTAATTAAAAACTACATTTTTAAAACAAATTCAAGGAAGTGTCACATTTTAACTATTCCCTTACATCCAGGGACTTATCATTTATTTTACACTGTAGCATTAAAAGCTTAAAAGACAATAATTTACTTTTTAAAACAAATCAGAATTATTTACCATCAATGGTGGAAGGCAGCAGCGTTGACACAATTTCTCCTTGTCCTTTCTGGTTTTTATATAAGAAACACTGGAAACAATAGAGAACTGCACAGCGCAATACAAATGGCTGCCTTTCATTAACCATGGACATAAGAAGCACTACAATTGCTGGTCTGTCGCATTAAAAAGAAAAGAACAAAAAGGAACATTGCAACTTAAGTACACACATCAATAACTAGTCACTTTTGTTGACTGAAAAACTATCCAAAACAGGGCTTCCCTGGTGGATCAAGGGTTAAGACGCAACTTATGAAGCTATTCGCAGCCACTGCAGCACAAGTTCAATCCCTGGCTAGGGAGCTACCCACATGGTGCAGCAGACCTCTCCTGACTCACCCGCTGCTTCCCTCAGCAGTGAATTTCAGTCAGTCTGCCTGTTCTGTTCCCCACTTTATCTCTGGTGAATCCTCTCACCCCCCACACCGCTGGCCTGTACCCCAGTTCTTGTATGCATAAATAAATCTTAAAAAAAAACAAAACAAAACCAAAACACAGGATAGCTAAGGACAGGTGAGAGAAGTGCAAAGATTGGTCTACTTATGCCTCATAGCTAGGAAGCAGAAGAGGAGTAATCTGAGCCCAAATGCGTAAGTTCCAAAGACTACAAACTCTCTTAAAAATACCAATATATTTATCTTGTTAGGCAATTTCTAGCTTCAAAACACACAAACTTCTTAATAGAGTAAGATGTGTTAACGAGATTGCTAAAAAACCAAAGCAAATTATTATTTCCTCAAAGGAATCTCAATATTTCCCTTTTCCTACCTTGGTGGGCTTGAAGGTGCATTTACAGAAGCAAAATAATCTTGGTTTACTTGGCAGCCTCGAATGACTTCTGATACAGTATTAATGGTCTGTTCAGGAAGAGGAAAAAAAGGAAATTTAGAGAAAGTAAGTCAAGAAAGGAAAGACATTTTCAGAAAAAGAAAATGGCACATGATTTTTGACCGTACATGTCAAAGTTGAGAAAACAAAAATTCAGTTATAGCATTATAGTCTTGTAACACTTTCTCAGTATAACATTTTAAAACATTAAAGATCTGTAATTACAAATACCACCGAAAAATGACACTCAAAATCTCAAAAAATTAAAAGTAATAATATCTTCTAAGAATATTTTCCTACAAAACAAGAAAAGGATGCTTTAAAATAAAATCAGAGAATAGGTAAAACATAACAAATTAAAAATTCAATTTAAGGGCCTCCCCGGTGGCACAGCGGTTGAGCGCCGGGTTGCGAAGCTGCCCGCAGCCTCTGCAGCGCCAGTTCGATCCCCAGCCGCTGGCAAGGGTCCCACATGGCGCAACAGACCTCTCTTGCCGTGCCCTCTGCTCCCCTCAGCAGTGTATTTCGTCAGTCTGCCTGTTCTGCTCCCCACACTGGCTCTGGTGGATTCTCTCACCCTCCCGCGCTTCTGACTGTACCCAGTGCTTGTATAAATAAATAAATAAATCTTTTAAAAAAAAATTCAATTTAAGAATGAAGTTGAAAATACAAGATAATAGAACAAAAAGACAAAACAGGTGTAGAAAGTCCAACAATATATTAATAGAGTTGCAGAAAGAGAAAAGAGGAAATTACCAAGGAATACCAAAACTCAGAACTGAAGGACATATATCTTCAATGTCAAAGGTCACAATGAACGCCAAAACTAGTTGGATAAGTTAAAAAAAAAAAAAAAGGTCTGCAGTACAAGAAATCACCAGCAAATTTCAGAAAACTAGAAATAAAAATTTTCAAAATTTCTGGAGAAAAAGCAGGTTACACAAAAAAGATTCAGATTCAAAATGTCTTTAGACTTATCATGAGCAACAATGGACTAATGTTCGGAAACTAGAAGTTAATGATTTCCAGCTCTGATTTCTCTATCTAGCTAAACATTTAATTAACTCTTGCATAACTTTTAATGGTAAAGGAATGTTATGCAAGAACTAAAAACAATTAAATAATTCTCTTGAAATTTACCATTTCCCAGAAGTAAAGTAAACAATGATGGCTCAAAGAGTTGGAGAAAAGACTGGAACTCCAGATAACCAAGGAATACAAGTCAAGGGATGCTAAAAGGAAATCCTAGGTGGATGGTGAATGGCAGTTCCAGTACAAAAAGATGTGGGGCAGAAACAGAGAATAATGAGTCCACACTGGGGCAGGAGGATGGAGAACTACCAGAAAAAGGTCTGGCATGGGGAACAATGTGTTAAGCCTATGGTAATATTAGTATGTATATTAACAGATATAAAGAAAATGTAGAGTGAAGAAACGTAAAATGAAGAAAGAACACTGGTATGACTCAGGAAAGAGAAAGGGATGCTTTCTCTATATATTGATTATAGCTATATATTGATTCAAATATATATTACTAGTGACAGGAAGAAGTAAAGTGGTAAGGTTACATAGGGGGGAAGTGATCTTCAAGTAGGGAGGGGTGAGGCTAAAGACAACTGCTTTTGCATATAAGTTTTATTATTACCTGAGTTTTTAATTTGCCTTAATGTGAGAAAATGGGGAAAAAATTTAAAGTAAACTTTTCCTTAAAATAAGTTTTTTAAAAAATAGGTAGGAATGATATACATCAGGGAGAGTTACCTACTACTTTAAAAATAAGTGTGACTACTCAAGACTCAAGTCTTACTTAACTAAATCTCATTGTTCTCAAAATTAAAAACATATCACACTGTGCACTGCTATTTAATATAACACACTTAATGAAAAATCTTCAAAGTTTTAACATTATTGATATACTATTAAACTTGAGAAATAAGCATATATTTGAATTGGAACTGATACTGTCATTATGCTAATTATATTTTAATAAGATAGTAACAGATTTACATATAAGAATGGCTATTACTTTTTTTCCTTCAGTTAATAACTAATTCTTCCTAGGATTCCTGATTTCAACTTCCACAGAGTAGCTTCTTGGTGCATTTGGTTTACCTCAGTCAGGATATCAGCAGGAACTCCAGTAGCCATTAGGATAGTACAAAGCTGCTGCAATAAGCCACACTGGAACATAGCTTTCTGGCAGCTACTAGTAGCACCAGGAGGATTGGTGGGAGATACCAGTACGCGAACAAGCTGTGAAAGAGAGTGAAAATATAATTTGTCTTTTAAAAAGTTGAGGGCTTTAGAGTAATTTTGATTTATATGAATAAGAACATCTAAGCGAAGAATTCCTTCATCTGCTCAGTTAGATCTATATGTCTGTCTATATGTTTTCATGATCCATGGCAGTACTCCATTCTAGTACATATTACATTATATTATTTGCTTAAGTCTGTTTCCTTTAGATGACTGTGAACTCCAAAAAGTAGAAACTGCCTTAGTTATTTTTATATCAAAAATAACAAGCACAGGGCCTCCCCTGGTGGCACAGCGGTTGAGCGCTGGGTTGTGAGGCTGCCCTCAGCCTCTGCAGCACCAGTTCGATGCCTGGCCACCGGCGAAGGTCCCACAAAAAAACAATAACAACAACAACAACAACAACAAGCACAGTATTTGTAAATTAGCCCAATAAATGAGTGAATAAGTAAGTAAAAGTGCAGTAGATTTCTTATCAAAGTAAGAATGAATGACCTAATTATAGAGCAGATCTTAAAATACAATGGCCTGAGGTTTGATAAATTCTCCTTAAAATTGAAATATTTAAAGAGAAGTTAAAACTAACAACTGGAGACATGGGAGAAGATTTACACATTAAGCAAGGAGTTGTCCTCACTGATTGTTAACGGTAATGAAATTCCTAAGATTCTATGCTCTTATGATTAGTCTGAACTTGAACATAAACTTACAGAAATAGGAAAAATGTCATCTCATACATTACCTGCCATTTTATAGTAAATATACAGAAGTAATCAATGACAAAGTAAACTAAATTGTTTTAGTAAACAAACAATTTTATGACTATAGTTGTGTATATCATAGAGACTTCACTATGAAAGGAGGCTTTTTTATTGGGGAGAGCTAAAGAAAATAATTAAATGGATGTGAAAAGAGGTATTTTTGTTAGCAAATGAAAAGGTAACCAACAATCACTAGATTTTGGGAAAGATCTCAACCAGTAATTGGTGAGTAATGAACAGAATAGTTAGACATATCTAAACAGACATTCTCAAAGAAGGGTCATCACCAAAGAGAGGCCTTAGGTATGATTACACACTGGTTGCTGTCTTTGGACCTTTGTAGTTAGACATTCATAGATTTTGTTTTTAATTAATTCACCTCTTAGACTTCATTAAAAAAAATTTAAAGCAAATATTAGTAAAGCTTCTATGAAAATTCTTATTAAAAAATAAAGTGAATACCTAGCTATATGTAATTTCTCCCATATTTCTATATGCATCTCTAGTTGATGAATTTAAAAAAAAAAGATGCCATTATCACACCTAACAAAAATCAACAATAACCCCTTAATAATATCAAATAACAGCTGGGTATCATTATTGATGATGGAAATAAAGAAAAACATTTGCCAAATTCCTGGATGACAGAGAAGTAGAAAGGATGGCTGAGGAAAGAATATTTATTTTAAGGATAAGAGAATAAGGGAAAATCTAACAACATTCAAATATATAAAAGATCATATGGAATAAACTTGCATTTTTCCAGAAAGCAAAACTAGGAGAAGTTTGTAGAGCAAGTCAAGTACCTAACAATGAAATTACTTCTCTTATAAAGTAATGTGCTGAGAGGCAGTAGCATTATCTTTCCAAAAAAAAATGACACAGCAAGGATTCTTAGAGGGAGAGGAGATACAATTAGTTAGAATACTAATAATCTAGGAGAAAAATCAGAATGTCTGTGAATAAAAAACTTACAAAATACTTTCACAAATTCAATTTCCAAAATTTGAATTAATCGCCAAGAAGATCAGTTTTAACTTTCAGTAGCTTAGAATTCAATCATGATAATAGCTGTGATGATGAAGACTTTTGATTGGGATATAGCTATCCAAATATATCACGTGTGATATATTTTCATTTGATATATAATAGAGAACCTGAAATACAAGCAACCCTAACTAGGGTTATGAAGAAAGAGCACTCTGATAGGTTGAAAGCATAAGATAACCTGTGGCCAGTAAAGTCATAAATGCATCAAAGCAGAGGATATATTAAAGTGAATTAAACTCACTTTATTTTCAAGTTTCTGTTTTTTAAGATTAGAATCTAGTAAGTTCATTGACTTCTTAAAAGACTACTTAGTGAACAGAACATTATTTTTCTGTTTGCATGCAGCAATTTATTCTAAAATTTTGGGGGTAAAATAGCACTTTCTTTTTTAAACAGTGACATTTCAAATATAATTCTTTTTTTTTTTAATAGAGGCATGTTTTATTTATTTATTATTTTTTTTTGTTTTGTTTGGTTTTTGTTTATACATGCACTGGGTACAGTCAGAAGCGCGGGAGGGTGAGAGAATTCACCAGAGTCAGAGCGGGGAGCAGAGCAGGCAGAAGGACCGAAGTACACTGCTGAGGGGAGCAGCGGGTGGCAGGAGAGGTCTGCGCGCCATGTGGGACCCTCCTCCAGTGGCCGGGGAGCAGCCGGGGATCGAACCGGCACCACAGAGGCCGCGGGCAGCTTCACAACCCAGCGCTCAACCGCTGCGCCACCGGGGAGGCCCTCAAATATAATTCTTTACACATTACCTTAAGGTATAAAACATGAGCAGGCTCTTCAAGCAGTTTGAATTTTCACTATTTGATAGGAAATACATAAATTTTGCACATGATGAGGTCTTTTCACTCTTACTAATAGCATTTTGAAAATTACTTTTCTTGATAAATTTCCTTTATTAAGAAAGTAGTATTGAGCGAAGGTATCAAGCTTACCACTGAGACATTATTTACAAAACATAAAAAACAAAGTCTTAAAATGTGTAACACTGACTCATAAAAACAGAAATGATAAAGCTGGGGTATAAATACAAAGTTTTTGTTCATGTTCCCCTATAAATTATTTTCCTAACAGATTTTAGGCATTTTCTAAATATATGTAATTTACTATCCAAACTCGAACACTTCTGAGGTGAAAGAGGATGCTAGTTGTCATTACAAAATGACATTACAAAAAATATTGTCTGGCAAATGGAGGCCTATGGTCATTCTATTAGCAATCAGCTGCATGGCAGAAAGCAGGGAACAAAACTCAGACTCTAGTTACTAGACAAGGTAGCCACTTAGTTTTGCCAAACACAACCTCAGAGATGCAGGCACAATTCAGAAACATTCAGAGACCCATAAGAATCACTAGAGTAAGTTAGGAGGCTGGTGTAAAATTAGCAGCTTTGAAAAGGAGAATTCAATAAAGGAGGAACGAAACACAGTAATTCAAAGAACTTCATAATTTTCTTTGATACGAAAAACATTTGGAACCACTCTTCTCACTTTTAATATACATGACTATTACGTGTTCATAAAACTTAAGTAAAATTATAGGTGATTCATTAATTGAATCTGAATAGGACTTAGACTACGAATCTTTGGGGGCAGAGAAATTGTCACTCATTTCCAAGCGTTCTATATCTGGATCTCAGTAAATATTTTATAAATTTATTTGTTGAACTTAATATTCTGAATATTAAAATTTATATTAGAGCCTTAAATGAAGAGAGATTTCAAATCTAATTTATTATTCCCTAATGTAAAGCCATTAGAAAAACTTGTTTCAATTTGCTTTGTAATACCCCAATATGGCAAGAAGGGAATTAAGATGAAACAAAATTGCCATATGTTGGTAATTACTAAAATTGAGTGAGAGGTGTTGTGTATGATCTATCTCTGTGTATTTCTATCTTTGGTTATAGCTATAAATCTCCATATTAAAAGTTTCCATCTGAAATCAACTGAATATACTGGATTTATCAAACACAAGTAACTTTCTTTAATTTATGTCAAAATTCCTTTTTTCTAAGATTTATTTTATTTATGCATACAAGAACTGGGGTTTAGGCCAGAGATACAGGGGTGGGGGCATGAGAGGATTCATAAGAGACAGAGTGGGGAACAAAACAGGTGGATCTACAGAAATACATTGCTGAGGGGAGCAGTGGGACACACCAGGGAAGTCTGCTGCGCCATGTGGGTTAGCTCCCAGGCCAAGGATTAGGCCGCAGTGGCTGGCAATAACTTGATAGCGCTGAGATTGTAACCCCCGCGCCATTAGGGAGGGCCTATGTCAAAATTCTTAACACACTTATGTCTAAGGACAGTATACCTGTAGCATTAGGTGCAGATTGGTCACTTTCTGTGCAGACCAGCCAGAATTTTCATCTCCCACTTCAAACCAAGGTTTCATACGTTGAATATATGAGCCTTCTTTAAAAAAATTTTGATTTGAATTGTTGTTTTTTAATAAGTTTTGAAGCAAAATCAGACAATCTTCTACCACTATACCTGGGGAAAGAAAGTAAAGTAAGTGTTAAGGCTAATAAAACCTGAAGAAAAATTTAATTCCCATTTAAAAAATAATACTCTTTTGATGCTCAGCATCTCTTCAATATGGCAAGAGAGCCTATTCTGACCACACTTGCAAGCTCCGTTTCAAGTCTCCCAATCACCTCTTTGACTTCAATTGTTCAAATATCTGCTCAGTAACTCATATTATATCTTCAAATCTCAAATTAAACATCATTTCTTTAGGATTGATTAGCAAGACTCAATGATGAGGATAGGATCACCTGCTACATACGAACAGCAGTCTATTCCTTTTGTTATTATTTAGTCACTGTCTTCTCTCGATTATAATTTATAAAGACAGGAACTTGTGAATGCCCTCTTAGTTCTGTACCCTTGCAGACAAGATACAAGGTGTACACAAAGCAATTACTACCAAATATTTGTCAAATGAATCAATTTTATCTCATGTAATCTCTAAGAAGCACCTGACATTGTTATCTGTATGTCTTTTCCTTGAAACTTCCTTTTCATGTTCCTAAAATACAGCTAATCTCTCCTGGTGTTCTTTGCAGATCTCTGGCAGATCCTCAGGTTATTGTTCATTGTTCTTGTTTTCTATTATTTCACCCTATCTCCTCTTCTTTGCTTCCAATGCACTCTCTAGAATAGTCTCTTCACACTACAGCTTCAATTGTTATCATAGCTAAAGCTTCCCAACTGATCACCATTTTATCAGTGCTAGTTTAATCAATGTTTAGTTTGATCTACAGAGCATATGACTGATGGGGGATGCTCATAGAAGCAGGCTCCACTAGCATACCAATACTTTGGCTCCTACTAGCTGAGTTGTATAATAATCAGTTGCTTTATTATTATTAATGACCAGTTTTTTGAGCAGCTTTAGGTTTACAGAAAAACCTAGCCAAAAAAAGAGGGGCATTTCCATATACTCTCACAGTTTCTCCTATTATTGCCATTGAGCATTAGTGTGGTACATTTGTTATAACTAATGAATAAATGCTGATACATTATTAAACTACATAGTTTATATTAAGATTCACCCAATGTGTTGTTCAGTTCTGGGTTCTCATTTATCTAGCATTACAGTATCATGCTCTAAAAATTACCTGTGCTCTTCTTTCCTCTCAAACCTGAATCCCTGACAACCACTGATCTTTTCACTTTCTCTACACAGTTTTGTCTTTTTTTTTTCCCACAAGTCACCTAGCTGTAGTCTGTATGAAGCCTTTTCAGACCAGCTTATTTAATTTAGCAATATATATATAAGGTTCCTCTCTCTTTTTGTAGCTTGGTAACTTTTTATTGTTGAATAATATTCCACTATATGGATATACCATAATTTGTATATCTATTTACCTACCCAAAGGTTGCTTCCAGCTTTTGGAAATTATGCATAAAGCTGGTATACACTTTCATGTGCAAGTTTTTCTGTGGATATAAGTTTATCACTTATTTTGGTAAATACTAAGGAGCATAATCTTTGGATCACACAGTAAGAACATATTCAGCTTGGTAAGAAACTGTCAAACTGTCTTCCAAAATGGTTGTTGCATTTCACATTCCCACCAGTAACAAATCAGAGGCTCCTATGGTTCCACATCTTTACCAGTTTTTGGTGGTATCAGTATTCTGGATTTTCACTATTCTAATAGTATGGAGTAATTGCTTTAATTTGTATTTCCCTAATGACATTTGTTGAGTATCTTTCCATATGCTATTTGCCATCTGCATATCTTCATCAGTGAGGTTTAAGTTCACATCTTTTGCCCATATTTCAATTGGGTTGTTTGTTTACTTATTGTTAAGTTTTATTAGTTCTTTGTATATTTTGGTTACAAATTACTTTTCAGATCTGTGTTTTGCAAATATTTTCTCCCAGTATATGGTTTATCTTTCTACTCTCTGAACAGTATCTTTTACAGAGACATTTTCAACCTTAATGAAGTCTCACATCAGTTTTCTCTTCCATGTATCATACTTTTGGTATTATATATAAGAATAAGATATTTTTGCCTGCCAAAATATAAGCATGACAAACAAAGCTATTTTTATGAAAAAAAAGTTTAAGTTTTTGACAAAACTCAAAGAAAGCAAGTCATTAAGAACAGATGTTGCTATGTATGGGCAATGCATGTCTAAAAAATGAGGAAAGTAATTATAAAAACCCAGAAATATCTGTACTCCATTTTAAAGAAATCTAAATGCAAATTCTACATGATATGATGGATGCAAAAAAGATGTTGAAAAACTCTTAAGCAGTACAACCATATTAAAAGAAAAAAATTCTGGCCCTAAGTCAAAAAACTAGTACATAAATGAGTATCTTTAAAAAAAAAGGAAGAAAAAAAGAGTATATTTAAAAAAAAGTTGTTACATATAACTTGAAACAAAATGCTTAAGGTACACATTGTAAATGTGAAACATGTGTATCCTTACCTCATGAGGAGGAACCACTATAATTATCTCTTTTTTTAAATATATCTTTTTAAGATTTATTTATTTATACCAGAACTGGGCTACAGGCCAGAGGTGCAGGAGGGTGAGAGAATTCACCAGAGACAGAGTAGAGAACAGAACAGGCAGACAGACGGAAGACACTATTGAGGGGCGAGACAGGAGAGGTCTGCCGCACCATGTGGGACCCTCGCCAGCAGGTTGGGATCCAACCAGTGCTGCAGAGGTTGCGGACAGCTTCACAGCGCTGCACTCAACTGCCTGCGCCATCAGGGGAGGCCCTATACTAAAGATTTTAATTAGTGCAATAAGACAAAAAAGAAAAGTGGTTTAAAAATTGAAAAGGGGCCTCCCTGGTGGCACAAGGGGTTAAGCACCGCACTATGAAGCAATCCACAGCATCTGCAGCACAAGTTCGATCCCCGGCTGGCCAGGGAGAAACTACATGGCAAGGCAGACCTCTACTATCTCCTCACCCACTCCTCCCCTCAGCAGTGTATTTCAGTCAATGATTGTATTAAATATATAAATTTTAATAGCAACACTATAAATACACTAGAAGATAACTGAAACATGTTTAATCAACAAAATATTAGTATTAAAATTGCCCAATAATCAACTAAAAAAGGAGAAACAATCTTATACTAAAATGGGCAAGTAGGTAATTCAAGTGGGGTAAAAGACAAAAACCGGTTGTGAATAAAACCACAAAAAGACGCTCATCTCATTACTTTAACAAATGAAATAAAATCACAATGAGATACCATCTCACACTAGCCTTGGTAGATCTATAGCCCGAGTTTGCACTGCCTGAGTGATCCAGGAAATCTCAAGTTCAGAATCTGGATCATAGAATAAGTCGTAATCAGGAGTAAACTGCACTCCCAGAACATGGCAAAAGCAAAGATGCTTTCTCTGAAAGAAATCACCTTCATCCTAGATTTCAAATTCCTATAAAAAATTGTTACATACACTACAATACACAAAGATAACCATACACACAGAAAATACTAAACCATGTTTAAGAAGCAGCAGAGAAAAAGTACCAGGCTCATAAAAAATTAAAAATTTGGATTATCAGGTACTATGAAATAATTGCTTTATATATTCAAAGAAATAAGGTAAGTGAAAATATTTGTAGAGAACTGGACATTATAAAAAATTACATAGCAAAGAACCAAAAGAACTTTTAGAAGATAAATCTAAAAACTCAGTGGATACATTTAATAGCTGATGAATATAGATAGAGAACTGTTAAAAGAGAAAAACAGTTCAGAAGGGATAATCCAGAATAAAGCTTAGAAAGGCAAAAAGAGGAAAAGACAGAAGAGAAAGCAGGATGACAGGATCAAAGCAGATGAAGAATTTAATCTGAGTTTAGAAAGATAGGAGAAAAATGTAGCAAAATAGTATTTGAAAAGCTATAGCAGAGATTTTTTCCAGAACTGATGAAAGTCTATCAATCTAGATTTCAGAAATCTAGCAAATATCAAACAGGATAAAAAGAAATCCATACTCAACACACTAAAGTGAAAGAAAAGAACATATGGTATCAGTTCTAGTTTCTCCTCCCAGTTGCATTCCTCAGAAGTCAACACTTTAGAAAATACAAAAGTAATCTCTTTAAATCAATCTTTTCATACTATACCTCCATCACTGTTCCCCTCCTCTGTAATAATATCCAGTAGTCTCTCAAAAGCATTTTCAAAAGCAACAATTTTCTGGATTGCTCCATTGCTTCTTGTTAATGCCTGCAGTAGTAAGACACCCTTATGGAAAAGAAAGATAATGTTTAGTGGAGTACAACTTTTACAAGATATTATAAAGTTACTTTAAAAACCAGAATTTTAAAAACATGGCAGGAATGTCACAAGTCCATCTTTTTCACTTTACTGATAGAGAAAACAAGAGCAGAGAAATTGAACAGTTTGTGTTCCTAAGACGAAAGGGACAGGACCAATTTTCACTGTACAATATAAATATACAAAATTCTTTCATATTCATGTAATCACCACATGGCTTTCACTGTGCCTAAAGTTGAGCATGATTATCTCTGTCTCAGTAATGCTTTATACTTGCTTCATAGTAGTATTAATAGGAAATTATGAATCCAATAATATAAATCAAACACCATCACATTTGAACAGAGAAAGTTCAGATACTCTTGTAGTTATCTGGCTCCGGGATTCCCAAAAGTTGATTCTAAGTTGTTAGAGAAATGAAAGTGAGAATTCAGTCTCAAGAATGACATGTCCAATGTCAAACAATTCATAGTAGTCTTTGCTTCTGAATTTCAGTTTTTCTCAATTCCTGCTGAGCTGGGTTTTGTTTATATTCTAAACTTTTTATCACTCAAGTAAAACTCAGTTACTAATTTCTGCTTATTTCATATCAAACAAGTATTTTATAAGCCTCGAAGAGCCCAATAATACCATAATGGTCAAAGAGATAGCAAATATTTTATGAAAAAAGCAGATGTTACTTAAGAGGAGCAGGAATAGCAAATAGGTAATTCAAAAACCCCAGAGGCAAATTAGCTATTAGTACTGGGTAGATAAACACACATATTATTCTTAAGACAAAAAATGTGTGACCTTATTGAGCCCATTCTACTCTTTTTCCTGACAGTCTCACCATTAAGATGAAATAAAAGGCAAAAGTGGTATTTTTTAGATGTCAAATTCTTCTATTTCATGCTACCAACTTGAGTTTAATTGCTAACAAAAGGAGGAAGGAATACAGTGGAAAGAATACTGAGATTCTAAATTAGATAAAATGGGTTTCAAAAAGGATTGTTCTACTTATTAGGAGTGCAACTTTGAACAAATTACAAAAATTCTGAGTCTTAGTAAAATCATGTGTAAAACAAGGATCTTTTGTCCCATGGTTTATGAGGAGTAAAGGAAAAGAAAGTTCTATAAAACCCAGCACTAATAGCTAATTTACCTCTTTGGGGTTTTTGAATTAACAATTTACTATTCCTGCTCCTCTTAAGTAACATCTGCTTTTTTCATAAAACATTTGCTATCTCTTTGACCACCATGGTATTATTGGGCTCTTCAAGGCTTATAAAATACTTGTTTGATATGAAATAAGCAGAAATTAGTAACTGAGTTTTATTTGAGTGATAAAGTTTAGAATATAAACAAAACCAGAATTTAAAAGAAGGAAGCAAAGAAAAAAATACAAAAGGGAAAAGAAGTAGTATAACATTTCAGATGGCCACAGAGTGCTACGAGAATGGCAAGACGTGACAATTCTTTGCTTGAAACCAAAGGAGAAAAAAGCTGCAAAACACATAAAAACCAAAAATTTAATAGCAATCCAGGAAGATGTAATTTCCAGCAAATTATGCATAAGTATATTATGTTACCACTTAAAATACCATGTTGATACAAATACTACAAGATTTTAAATACAAATTTTAAAAAATTGTCTACTTGATCCAGAAATCAAGAGTCTTTCAATTTTGTCTTGCTTTGCCAATAACTAGTTGTGAGGCTAAGAACAACTTAGCAATATACTAAGCAATATGGTATTCATTAGTACTTAGAATGAGAAAGGCACAGATCTAGGTACCACAAATATGAACATGAATAAGATAGTAAGATATTAACAAAGAGCAAATCACTTGCTCTGTTGTTTCTGTCAGTCTTGAGCTTCACAGTATAAATACTGATTGATAATTTAGCTCTAAAATTTAATTTGAAAAAGATCTTTCCCATAGTATAATATATTAGAGTTTTGATCAAGTTGTAGATAACAATAAACATTTAGGCAATAAAACTATATTACATCAATACAAAATATTCAAAGTTATACATAAATATTAAATCAGAATGGAAAATAAATCCACATTCTCTATAGTTAAATAGTTTTTAGAAGGAAAATCCTTTGAAGTACTCAATCAAATGAGGGTGAGGATACTAAATGCTCAATTTTGTAAAATTTACTTGGTTCAATGTCTGGGGATGTTTAGTGTCATTACAACCTTTCATAAAATGATGGAAGAAATCCTGAATTTGTGAAAGGCATAAAGTTAATAGAAAAATCATTTTGTGGGTGGGCAGACTAAGGTACCCCAGAACCCCCAAACTTGCATGCTCTGGCTATCTGTGCACACAAAGACAAAGTAACTTAGTGTAAAATAACTTAAATAGGATTAGTGTGTACAGAGAAAGAAGCAAGGATACTAGTTTTCCAATAAAACACCCAAAGTTACCCACGCCCTTGTGGGTAAATGCCCTGTTAAAAAGGTTTGCCCAAATTGGGGCCCCTACGGCTCAAAACCTTGCCATAAATCTAAGGTATCTTCTGGCAGGGAATCATACAAAGGGGGAAAAAGGGCCAGGCAAGAAGGAAAATCAAAGTACATGTCAAGGTAATGACTGCCATTGTCAGCCTGCCCACATGTCTCTCATCCACCTGTCTTTTCAAGTGTGCTCTACAAGTATGTCTCCTCCAAATCCCTCAAGTCCCTGGTGCAAGTTCAAAGCCAAGAAGCAAGTAGGCACTTCTCTAAGCATCTTTTCCTGAGTGGACTTACCTTCCAAGTTATATAACTTCTCCTGTCCGTTCACTTCTGTCCCTAATTCTCAGTATCTAGTCCAAGGCCACTGCATGTAAATGGGGGCGGGAAATAAGGTGTCTTCCCCCTTTATGAAGATGTCTCTACTATTATTTGTTTAAGAAATAATGTGACCCTACATATAACTTTAAAAGGCAATTTTCCAAACTATGTTTCTAAATAAAGGTCAACAAAGATTTCATTTGCAAAGAGAGATTAAAAGTTGTATATTTTTAGACATATTTTTCATATTTAACTTACATCATTGCGTATAACTTCTCTGGAATCTGCTAATAAGTCCATTAATCTTGAAACACCTAGTGGCAAACAGTGAAAAATAGTGACAGGTCAAAAATACGTACAGTGACTCAAATTATAATGAATTTGGGCCTCCCTGGTAGCACAGGGGGTTAAGCACTGTACTATGACAGTCTGCAGCCTCTGCAGCACAAGTTTGGTCCCCGGCCCGCCAGGGAGCAGCCCACATGGCGAAGCAGACCTCTCCTGTCTTGCCCGCTGCTCCCCTCAGCGGTGTACTTCAGTAAATCTGCCTGTTCTGTTCCCCACTCTGTCTCTGGTTAATCCTCTCACCCCCCATACCTCTGGCCTGTACCCCAGCTCTTGTATGCATAAATAAATAAATCTTTAAAAAAAAAAACACCAAAATTATAAAGAATTTATTATCATATCATTTCAGTCTCCTTCTTTGGGAAAAGATCCTCACTTTTAAATGAAAATGATGTAAGAAAGATGAGTCACTTACCCATAGGACTGACTAAAATAATTTGTTGCACTTGAGGTCCTAACTGTTTCAAAAGAGAAGTAAGAAGCCTCACACCAGGCCAGCGGACATGGAAATCAAACTCCTACAATGTAAACATTTTAAATATTCAACATCTGTAATTCATATTTTCAAGAAAAACATTTTTCAACTAATACTGGTATCAAAACTATAAACAAAGAAAAAAATAGAAAGTAATCTAGTAAACTTTAAAAAAGAAATTAGAGAAATAAAAGCATAAAAGAGTAAACATGAATTGACCAAATTGATTACTGATAAACTGTTACTACTGGGTAAAATAGGATTCTCTAAAAGTGGAAATAAGAAGCTATAGTATTTTCACAGATTACATAGTTCTTAAAATATGTATGTGAATCTCTTGCAATGATACAAAATATTTCAAAATATTAAAAAGGTCTATCTAGGGCCTCCCCTGGTGGCGCAGGCGGTTGAGTGCCACGCTGTGAAGCTGTCTGCAGCCTCTGCAGCAAGGGTTTGATCCTGGCTGGCCGGCGAGGGTCCAATATGGTGCTGTAGACCTCTCCTGTCATGCCCGCTGCTCCCCTCGGCAGTGTATTTCATCAGTCTGCCTGTTCTGTTCCTCGCTCTGTCTCTGGTGAATCCTCCCACCCTGACGCGCATCTGGCCTGTACCCCAGTTCTTGTAAAAATAAATAAATCTTTAAAAAAAAAAAAAAAGGTCTATCTATGGGGCCTTCCTGATTGCGCAAGGGGTTAGGCACTGCACTATGAAGCAATCCGAAGCCTCTGCAGCACAAGTTCAATCCTCAGCTGGCCAGGGAGCTACCCACATGGAGTAGCAGACCTCTCCTGTCTTGCCCGCTGCGCCCCTTAGCAGTGTATTTCAGTCACTCTGTTCTGTTCCCCACTCTGTCTCTGGTGGATCCTCTCACCCCCCGCATCTCTGGCCTATACCCCAGCTCTTGTATGCATAAATAAATCAATCTTTAAAAAGGTCTGCCTATCTATCTATCTATCTATCTATCTATCTATCTATCTATCTATCTATCTATCTATCTATCTGGATGTGTTGCTTCCTCAGTAACACATGAAAAGTCAACAAAAGCAGCTTATTAAGTTGAAAAACATAACAGGGTTCAGTATTTACCTCCAATAAAGATAACAGGAGAGTGACATTTTCTTGTTGCTTAATGAAAATTTCTGTAAACTGGCTTCCCAGATCCTCACTCTGCCTTGTGGAATTTTCTTCTGTAATATTCAAAGATGAAGTACTTCAATATGATGCTATGTTATCTTAAAGTATCTTTTTTGTTGCAGGAGCTAAGCAGAAATGATAATTCTTGGAACAGTGTGGCTGGCAGTGATATCACAATTGTGCTGGAAAGATACATCCTTAAAATAACTTTCAATGTCATTTAAATAAATTTTTATTCTTTAAATGTTAAAAAATAACAAAGAAAACATATTTAGGTATTCACATTTTTTTCAAGGACATTCTGAGGTTAAACTTCTTACTAGAGTACAAGGTATCTTATTGGGATGATAGAAATATCTTAAATGAGACAATGATTACACTAATGTCTACATTTGCCTAAATGCACTATACAACACCAAAGAATAAATTTTACTGTATGTAAACTATACATCAAAACACCTCCCCAAAACATTATTAAAAATATAGTCCTTTGTTGACTGTTAATGTTACTATTAAATAACTTATTAAAAAATTAAACCAGTCATCTGCAGATTCTTCAGTATCTTCTAAAAAAATGTTAATATACATATCCTAAAGTTATTTGCTAATAAAATCAGAATTTGATATTTAATTTCTCATTTATCCTTTAAAAGTTTATATTTGTCCTTAAGATTTAGAAGTCATTAAAGTATTTGTTGTTATCAGTGTACCTTATCCAAAATATGTGAAGGATTACTAAAAGTTAAACAATTGTCAAAGCAATTATTTACAATCTGCCTACACTAAACACAACTTAAAGATGGCAAATACACTATTCCCTTTTCCCTTACGCATACCAGACATAGCTTATTGATCACACCTCTGCTTGAACCATGAGAATCCTTTTCCACATATTGCTCCAGACAGTGATATCATAAATTAGTGAGCCTGACAGCCAAGATCAAACCTATTTTTTTTCAAATAGTTCTTCATTAAATGTGACATTTTAATATTAATGTATTTGAGAAATGGAAAAAACCCAGCAGGTGAGAGGAAAGGTAAAGCAATTCAACAATGACAGTAGTAATCTCATCCAATTATTTTTAGAAGAAAAAAAAATTAGAGGCCATAAGTAGAAAATAAATGTTTTCCAACATTGGTTAAGCACTCAATTATGCTGGTTTTGTCCTTTGGATACTTTAAGAACTATTTCTCTTATCAGCTCTTGCATCAGTAAAAGAATTTACTGTTTCTGAATGTTAAAATGACACTACTTAAATATTTTAGTTTCTAGCTGCTGCGTTGACAATAGTGTCAGAGAACAGAGAAAATAGGGAGGTGATAATCAAGGTATCAGGTGAAGGTGGCTTAGACCTCAGTGATTATTATTATTATTTTATGAAAAGGAGGAAACAGGCTTGCTAACATATTGCATACAGGGTTAAGAAAAGAGGAAGAGGAGGAGGAATAAGAGAAAGAAAAAGAAAGAAGGGAAGAGGAGGAGGAGAAGGCAGAGTGATCAAGGCATGAAGAACTGGAAGGATGGAGTTGTCGTTTACCAAGATGGGAAACACTGTGGAGAAGCAAGTTGAACATTTAGAGAGAATCAGAAGTTCAGTTTTGGACATATACTTTAAGTGGTAAACATATACTTGATAGTCAATGTTATAAGGTTGTATAATAAAAGGCATCTATGAAAGACGGGTAGTTAACATTGAACTTAATGGTTTAAGGCTGAAAGCTTTCCACCTAAGATCAGGAAACTGAAAGAATAACCACTTTCACCACTTCTAGTTAACATTGTGCAAGAAATCTTAGTGCCATAAGACAGGGTTTGTGGGGGGAAAAGAATACAGAAGTTAAAGGAAGAAGTAAAACTGTCTTTCCTTATAGATGATGTATTTGTCTACATAGAAAATTCCATGGAATCTATGAAAAAAAAAAAAAAACTATTAGAATAAGTGAGCTTAGCAAAGTTGTGGGATAAAAGACTATATACAAAATTAACCGCATTCCTATATACTGGCAATGAACAAATAGAGATCAAAATTTAAAAAACAGTACCACTTAAAATAGCATCAAAAGTATTGAAGTCTTAGGAATAAATTTGACAAAAGAGATGTAAGACCTTTACTTTAAAACTCCAAAATGCTGCTCAGAGAAATTAAAGAAGACCTAAACAAAAATATATAGCAAAGAAGGTACAATATGGCTAGATGTCATTTGCCATATTACAGACTCAACAGAATCCCTTTCAAATCTCGATCAGTTTTTTGGATAGAAATTGACAAACCAACATTACAATTGATATGAGAATACAAAAGAAGCTTAAAAAACCCAATTTTGGGAAAAAAAAAGTTGGAAGACATACTACAAAATCTCAAGATTTATTATAAAGCTACAGTGATTTGAGGGTAGGAAGAGCACAAGGGATTATGGTGATGGTGCACGTGTGAAATGGTGGTAGAAATTCTGTGGGGACTACTCCTGAGAAGAGAAAGCAAATACTGTAAAAAAAAAAAAAAAAAGAACAATCATGTAAAACATAAATAAATTAAATATAAAAAATAAAGCTACAGTGATTAAGACAGTGTGTCATATAGACAAAAGGACAGCCATATAGACAAACAATAGAAAGTCCATTTGCTCAAAATGGATCATAGACCAAATGTAAAAACTAGAAAATACCCTAATCCATAAGTTAAAACTTTAAAACTATCAAAAGAAAGTAATGAAGAAAACTGTAGTGGTTTTAGGTTTGGCAAAGATTTCATAAATAATAAGCAAAAAGTATAAATTATAGAAGAAAAAACTACTAAATTGATTGAATCAAAATTTAAAATTTTGGCTCTTTAAAAGAATGTATTAGGAAAATGAGAAGGCAAGTCACAGACTGGGAGAAAATGTTGGCGACATATTTACAACAAAGAACTTGTAGCTAGAATACATAAAAAAACTCTTACAATTCAAGTAGACAAAACAAATAAAGCCAGCAAAAAATGGACTAAAGATTTGAATAAACACTAAAGAAAAAGATAAATGGATGGCAAATAGTCACATGAAAAATTCATATGATCAGTATTATTATTCATTATGAAAAGACATATTAATTATCATGAATACCATTTCAAACCTATCAGAATGGCTAAAATTTAAAAAAGACTAGACATACCACCAAGTATTGGAGAGGTTGTGGAAGAAGTGGAACTTTCATATACTGCCAGTGAAAATGTAAAATGTTACAATGTCTTTGGAAAAAATGGGTTGGTAGTTTCTTATAATAATAAAAATATACATATGCTATTACTTCTTAGTTATTAATATAGGACAAATGAAAACCTATATCCAAAGACTTACACATGAATGTTTATAGAAATTTCACTTACAACAGCTAAAAGGGGAACACAACACAAATGCCCATGAACAGAGGAATGGAGTAACAAATTATATTCATACTACAGAATACTATTTTGCAATAAAAATGAATAAACTACTGATATACAACATGGATGCAAACTCAAAATAATTATGCTAAGTGAAAGAGGCCAGACCCCCCCTAAATGAGTATATGCCATATAATGTAATTTATATAAAATTCTAGAAAAGTACAAAGTAATCTATAGTAATAAGAGCAGATCTTTGATTAATGAGGCTAGGAAGAGTAGAGATGTATTGCAAATAAGCAGAAGGAAACATTTGAATATGACCATTAATTTGTTGGTGGTGGGTTTATACACATAATCAAAACTCATCAAATTGGGGCCTCCCTGCTGGCTCAAGGGGTTAAGACGCAACCTATGAATCTATCAGCAGACTCTGCAGCATGAGGTCAATCCCCAGCCCGCCAAAGAGAAACCCACATGGCGAAGCAGAACTTTCCTGTCTCGCCTGTTGCTCCCCTCAGCAGTGCACTTTGTTCAATCTGTTCTGTTCCCCACTCTGTCTCTAGTGAATCCTCTCACCCCCCACATCTCTGGCCTGTACCCCAGCTCTTGTATGCATAAATAAATAAAATCTAAAAAAAAATTAAAAAAAAAAACTCATCAAATTGTACATTTATACACATGCAGTTACTATATTTCAATAAAGTCGTGTATGTGGAAGAAATCCAAATGCAGATATTAAGTATCTGAATATACAATTATGGACTTCAGTGGAGAGGTCTGGCTTGGATGTATACTTTCGAGAGTAGTAAGCATATAACCTACTTTATCACCAAGGGAAATAGAGAAGGAAAAAAATCTGTACCTGGGTCATTCCAGTGTTAAGAGGTGGAGGGGTGGGGGGAGATGAAAAAAAGAAAAACAAAATAACAAAACTGTAGAGGAAATAAAGAACTGCAGTCCACTGACACAGGAAGAAAATGAGGGTACTATGTAGACTGAGAAACAGTGAACAAAGTGTTTCTAAGAGAAAGAAGTGATTAGCAGGTCAAGCGCTATTTCTGAACTTAACATAATCAAGAAATGAAGCAGCTTTGTTAACACAAGTAGAGGTGGGCCTCCCCGGTGGCGCAGCGGTTGAGCGCTGGGTTGTGAAGCTGCCCGTGACCTCTGCGGCGCCGGTTCAATCCCCGGCTGCTCCCCGGCCACCAGAGGAGGGTCCTACATGGCGCGCAGACCTCTCCTGCCGCCCGCTGCTCCCCTCAGCAGTGTACTTCGGTCCCTCTGCCTGCTCTGCTCCCGGCTCTGGCTCTGGTGAATTCTCTCACCCTCCCACGCTTCTGACTGTACCCAGTGCATGTATAAACAAACAAACAAGTAAAATAAATAAATAAAGCATGCCTCTATTAAAAAAACAAAACAAAACAAAACACACAAGTAGAGGTAATTTCTATTTATGTACAGAACAAATGGGATGTAGTCAAATACTTTCCTAAAAATAGCCTCATGGAAGAAGTTTACCTGAGTGGTATGAATATAATGGAACATACAAACTCAACGATAAAGAGGCCAAGAGAGCAGCTTAGGAGTGAAGCAAGCTGCTGACAGACAATAGCGAGGATGGAGTAGGTGCCCTGAAAGAGTAAGCAGAAGATACTCAGCTCCAACTAACTGTTGCCACTGGGGAATGA